TTCTTTTTGAGACAGAGTCTTGCTCCATCACCCAGGCTGGAGTGCAGTGGTACAATCTCACCTCACTGCAACCTCTGCCTCCTGGGTTCAAGCGATTCTCATGCCTCAGCCTCCTGAGTAGCTGGGATTACAGGCATGTGCCACCACACCCGGCTAATTTTTTTGTGTTTTTAATAAAGAATTTCACCATGCTGGCCAGACTGGTCTCGAACTCCTGGCCTCAAGTGATCCACTTGCCCTGGCCTCCCAGGGTGCTGGGATTACAGGCGTGAGCCACCATGCCGGGCCAAAAAGTCCAGTTTCTAAGACAGGAAGCTTGAAAATAATAGCGTGCACTTATTGAGCGTTTATTTCATGCCTGGCAACTTACATGCACCAGCTCAGCAAAAGCTTACAAGAGTTCTATGAGGTCAGCCCAGGCTTTAGCTGCGTTTGACAGGTGCATTTTCCACAAGTAAGTCGTAGATCCCAGGGAAGGGGCTGGTGGGAGTGGGCGCACCAGTAGTTAGGGGACAGTTGAACCCAGGCTGCCCCTCTAACCACTGGGCTTTACTGGCTCTCTGCACCCCCAGAGTCTTATCAGTGAACATCCGCGATTCCCAGCAGAGTCCCTGATTCCAAACCAGGGGTGAGAAATCCTGGACTCTGGGAGATTTCCTGAGGCCACAAAGAATTTGGTCGACCACATACAGGGATTTTTCCAGTTTTAGATATGATTTAATTCAAAGTCTCTGCCCGCTCCCGGTCTGTTAGAGGTGCGGCGAGTGGAGGAGGCAGGAACCTCCCTTCGCTGGTCCATGGGTCCCCACCCGATCCCGCTGCCCCGGGTAATACCCTCCTTGGCAGGTCCTCTGCTCCGCGCCCGCAGCTCCAGGCAGCTCGAGCGCGCGGGACTGGAGGGCGGGGGGCGAGGGGCTGGGAGCGGGGGGCGGGCAGAGGGAGGAACAATGGCCCCCTCCCCTCCCCTGACCGGCTAGAGGGTGGGGTCTCCCCGCCCCGCCTCCCCGCTCCTCCCCCGACAAGGCGATGAGGTAATCGCGCCGCTGAGAGGCACGCGCAGCCGGTGCCCAGCCGGTTGGTCCCTGCGCCCCTGCCCCGCCGGCCACCGCCCCCCCACACCGTCCCGGCCTCGGCAGCCCGGCCCCACCATGACCGAGCGGTGCAGCCTGTGGAGCGCCCTGTCGGCAGCCGCTTGCTGCTTCTACCGCGGCTCCTTCGTGCAGGTGCAGGTGAGGGGGCGGCTCGGCCCCCGCCATGCGCGCCGGGTTGGGACCCCGGCCGCTCCGCCCGGGGCCCTAGAGACAGCTGGGGAGCTGCAGTCCTGCGGCGCCCGCCCAGCAGGGTCGGGCCCAGCCGGGCGGGTCAGGGGAGGGGGCGGGGTCGCCCCAGCCTCACCTCTGGGCGCCCAGGCGCTCCGCGGGGTGAGGGTTCGGCGGCCACTCCTGGGACTCCGGGCTGCGGTGGATGCCGGTCCGTTTCTGCCTTCTCTGCAGGAGGGAGAGAGCTGGGGCAGGGGGTACCGGGAGATGGGGTCCCCGGCACCCTGCCGGTCCTCCGCCTGGCACGCTGGCCCTTGCGGCTGACCTGGGCACCCTGGCTCCCCATTGTACCGGGGACGCTGGGCTGGGATCTGAAGGCTGAGTGAGGAGCAGGAAATGCGGGTGATGCTTCGGGTGCCAGGGTTGGGGCCAGAGCACCCGCCACTCTCCCGCCCTCTAGGTGTGCTTGGACATGCCTGGGGCTCAGGTCTCTCCCAGCCCAGCTGGCCGGGCAGTGCAGGACGGCGCCGCGGCGGTGAGAGGGTTAAACGGAAGGGGGTGGAGGGGAGGACCCGGACCCCGCCTCTCTGCGGAGCATCCTTTGGGGATGGCTTTGCTTGGGGTTGGGACTCCGAGGTGAGCTGGAGGGGATGCTGGGCTCGGGCTGGCGGGAAGGGGTTAAGACCCTGTCCGGGGGTCTCCGCGCTCCTGCTTCCTGAGCCCCCTGGGAGATGCCAGGCTCGTTGGCTCTTCGCTCCCCCAGGCTCACACACGCTCGCGGAGCCCGCCTGAAGGACGGCCCCGCCGGCTGCGGAGCGGAGCATCCCCGCACCGGCCAATCAGGCGCGCGCAGGCCAGGAGGCGGTGAGATCATCTCTGGCCAATAGCAGAGCGCCGAGCGCAGGGATGCTGCATTCGCACTCCAGCACCCCCAACTCTAGGGAGCTGGGGGCCCCCAGGTCGATGTGAGATCAAGGCACAGGGACCCTAGGATTCCTCACCCTCAGGTGTGTGGGAGGACCAAGTTGGTCCCCCCAGACTCTCCGTGACCAGTGATTAAGCTGGAAAAGGGGAGCCCAGTCTCCCAGCCCCCTTTAACGGATGAGTCTTCTCAGGCCCAGAGAGGGGAAGTGACTGGCTCAAGGTCACACAGTGGCAGCCTTGGGGCGGGTTCTTCAACATCCAGCCTCCTCCCTCCTTTGCCCGCGTCCCTCGGGCTCCAGCTGAAACTGGGGGAAGGTCTCAATTGCATGCCCTTTGTCAAGGAGGACGCCAGAAGGCTGAGATCTTGGGTCCCTTTTTCCCTGTGACGCCCACTCTTCCCTTCCCAGGGTTTGATGTGATATAAGGAAAGAGGACTAGGCTGGTGTGAGCACCGCAGAGTGAGAGGGAGAGAGAACAGGGACCCCCAGAAGTAGGGGACCCCTTGGGGAAGTGTAGGTGTCTGAGAAGGCCGGGATCCTAGCTCAGCCCTGGGCCTCTGCCCTTCGGGAGTGTCGGTTTCTACCACGGCTGGAGGATGTGCAGAATTCCCACCCCCAGGCCTTTCTCCTGAGCACCTGTGTAAACCACCCACTCCCACCATCTGTCCCCAGAGTCCTGCAGGTTCCTCAAGGTCCAGATTTTCATGGGCCCACCGCCAAGCTGCTCCTGCCCCAGCCTTGCCCACTCAGCGTGTCCCATCATCCTTCTAGGATCTGGGCCGGGAGTCCTCTCGGACCCCTCCGCCCTGCTCCCCCGCATGAATCAATGGCCATCTAAACTCCCCTTCCCCTACTCCTTCTCCCCACACCTTATCTGCCCTGCCACTGCCTAGAAAACCCTAGACTGCTCTCCCCAAGTGGTCTAAACCTGCTCCAACACTTCCAAACCCTTCCATGGCTGTGCTGTGGCCTCCGGCTAATCCCCAGCTCACTAAGACACCTGCCACACCTGCCCCTGCCCCCACAGCCCCTTGGAAGCTTCTCATTCATCTCCCCTCCCTCCCCTTGGCTCTGCCCATAGGGCCCTGACTTTGCTGCTCTCTGTCCAGAAGCTCTTCCCTGCCCACCTGTCCACCTGCCCTCTCCACCCTGGTGCTTTTGCTTGGCTCACCCAGTCCTTCTTCAGACCTCAGCAGAAATGTCACCTTTTCTGGGAAGTGATCCCTGACTCTGCCCCCTGACTAGTTTGGTGGTGCACCATCTCTGTGCATCTCGAGACATTCGGGAGACCGGGAATTGATTGTCAGTGTTTGCAAGGCCTCCCCCAGGGCAGGGGCCACCTTGGGTCCTCACCCCTGGGACAGGACCAGGATAAGGACTTAGTCAATGTTGAATGGAGTCAGAGATTCTAGATATCTCTGACACTGGGAATCATGGTGTCTTGGGAGCAATGCAGACTGGGGTAAACCCAGGCAGTATGGGAGCAGAGGGCTAAGGGACGTAGTCATAGAATTAGGAGGCAAAATCTGTGGATGGTCTGAGGAGGCAGGGAGCGAACTGGAGGACCCTTGGACTCTGGGGAGCGAGGGGCCCCAGGGAGAGACTCACCTGGGATGAAGGCCCTTTACTGCCCTCCCTCATCGATCTTGCCTTCTGGCCAGTGCTGGGGTCTGTCTGTCTTGGAGTAGCCATCTTTGGGGCCTGGAGTTGGGGGAAGGAGAGGAAGAACCGTCCCATGTCCGTGCAGTGATGAGGATATCTGTGTGCCAGTAGTACTCTGGAGTGCTGTCTCTTTTCATCTTCACAGTGAGGTGAGGCAGGTTCTGTCACTGTACCCATTTTAATGAGGAAGAAATTGAGGCCCAGAGAGCTCACATGGCACAGCCAGGATTGGACTGGGCTCTGGTGGGTGTACACCTGGCATTAGGGGCTTCCCTTCCTCTGCCCTTAGGGCCCCTGAGATCCATCAGCCTCCAACTTCAGGCCACAGTGATCAAGAAACCAGGAGGTTCTGGGCCAGGTGGGAGGGTGGAGTACTGGGCATTATCTCCTTCAGGGGCCTTGGGCTTCCCTGCTGGGCCATGGCCTCCTCATCTGGTGAGGATTGCTGGGGATTGCAAGGGAGAAATGGCTTTGGAAATTGTAAGGGGAAATGCGGATGTCTGTGTGGGGTCCCCGTGTCCCTGTTTATAGTCTCTTCCCCACCCTTGCATTGTAGAATGCGCCATCCCAGAATGTATCCTTGTCCAACCAGCTCTGTGGTTTTTGCTCATAGCTTTTCTTGCAGTTACCTGCTGCCCTACCTCCAAGATTCATCTGTAGAAATCCCCCTCCAACACTTCAAGATCAGTTTGGTGCCGTTGGTGCATAATGAGTGTTTTCTTACTGCCCTCTCCTCCAGGAAGGCTTCCCAGACGCCTCTGCCTTGCCCAGGCTTAATCCTGCTTGTAGAAGCCACCTGGCTCTTTGCCGCTGTCCAGCGCTATGGTGCTGACCGCCCTCTACTCAGAGGCTCCCATTGCTTTTGCCTCTCCTCAGCCTAGGCACTGCCTTGAGGGCCAGGCTTGGTTTATGTGTCACCGCATCCACCTCTGGCATATAGCACAGGGCCTGGAATGCAGTTGGCATTGTTTGGTTGAAGGAATTGAGATTTCTTTACTCTTTCTGGGACCCATGGTAAAGGACCTTTCTGGCACCTGTGCCTTAGTGTTCCCAGAGTCCCAGGATAGGAGGAGTTCATCCATGGTAGAATGAAGCTGGGAGGGAAGGAAGAAGGGGGCTTTAAGTTGGATGCCAACTCTTGCTGTCTCCTACCCAGTTCTCCAAGGAGAAGTACATCCTGGACTCATCGCCAGAGAAACTCCACAAGGAATTGGAGGAGGAGCTCAAACTCAGTAGCACGGATCTCCGCAGCCATGCCTGGTACCATGGCCGCATCCCCCGAGAGGTGAGCAGGCCCCCAGCTGGAACTTCAACCCCGGACCCTCCCACCCACTGCCTTGGGCAGCCCCAGCCCTGGTTGCAGCCACCTGGGAGGCTCTGTCCTATTGCTTGATGGGTTCAATCAGAATGGACTGGGATGAGGTCTAGCTCTGCCATTTACTGACTGTGACCTTGAAGAAGTTGCTTCACCTCTCCAAGCCTCAGTATCTACTGCAAAGGGTTCTTGTGAAAATTAAATGAAATAATGCAGGTAAAATGTTTAACATGATGCTTGACACCATGAATGTTGGCCTTTGTTTTTTTTTTTTTTTTTTTTTTTGAGACGGAGTCTCGCTCTGTCGCCCAGGCTGGAGTGCAGTGGCGCGATCTCGGCTCACTGCAAGCTCCGCCTCCCGGGTTCACGCCATTCTCCTGCCTCAGCCTCCCGAGTAGCTGGGACTACAGGCGCCCACAACCGCGCCCGGCTAATTTTTTGTATTTTTAGTAGAGACGGGGTTTCACCGTGGTCTCGATCTCCTGACCTTGTGATCCACCCGCCTCGGCCCTTTGTTCTTATTATTGTTACTGTTATTGTCTGGTCTATATATCTGCCTTTTGTATGCTTGCTTAGTGAGTACCAATCATCTTTGGGCTACTTAGTTTTGGCAAAGTTGAGTTTCTTGGCTGAGGTGACTTTATAAGCCACAGACTTAAGTTTATAGATCACTTGTTCCTTCTTTCATTCATGCTATAATCTTTGTCAAACACCAACTTTGCCAGGACCTGTGCTAAGCACCAAGGCTGCAGAGGTAGAAGAGGTGGTGGCTTCTTTTGATGGCTAATGGCCCAGGGTAGGGGGCTGACAGTCAGAGCCTAGTGGAAGAAGTGCAAGAATAGAGTGCCTAGTATGAATATGGGCAAGTCCTGAGGAGGGGACACTGAGGATGGAGGCCTTTGTGAGATAGATAGGAGTTCACCAGGTGGGGCCAGGTGTGATGGCTCACGCCTGTAATCTCAGCACTTTAGGAGGCTGAGGTGGGCAGATCACCTGAGGTCAGGAGTTTGAGACCAGCCTGGCCCACATGGTGAAACCTTGTCTCTACTAAAAAAAATGAAAATTAGCCAGGTGTGGTGGCACGCACCTGTAAGCCAGCTACTCAGGAGGCTGAGGCAGGAGAATCACTTGAACCTGGGAGGCGGAGGTTGCAGTGAGTGGAGATTGTGCCACCACACTGCAGCTTGGGTGACAGAGTGAGACTCTATCTCAATAACAATAATAAGGCCGGGTGTGGTGGCTCACGCCTGTAATCCCAGCACTTTGGGAGGCCAAGGCGGGTGGATCACAAGGTCAGGAGATCAAGACCATCCTGGCTAACACAGTGAAACCCCGTCTCTACTAAAAATACAAAAAATTAGCCGGGCGTGGTGGTGGACACCTGTAGTCCCAGCTACTCGGGAGGCTGAGGCAGGAGAATGGCATGGACCCGGGAGGCGGAGCTTGCAGTGAGCCAAGATTGCGCCACTGCACTCCAGCCTGGGCAACACAGCGAGACTCCATCTCAAATAATAATAATAATAATAAATAAAAATAAATAAATAATAAATAAACATCTGAAGTACCTCAGATGGACAAGGCAGGAACGGTGTTCCAGGACAAAAAAGCAGCTTGAGGGTGCAAGGGCCAGAGGCATGCCAGAGCACTGAGAGGTTGGAAGAATGAGGATTAGGAATTCACTCTGCCCAACCAGAACCCTGAGAAGGGATGGGTCTGAGACCTGGGTCTCAGATCAGCCATTCTCACTCCTCCAGACCCGGGGCCTCTGTGCCTCCCATTCCAAGGTGTTAGGTCCTCCCATTCCTGAGCCTCTGTGCTGCAGACCCAGGGCCTCTGCCTGAGGTGCCCCCTCTGAACCTGGGTCATTGCATCCCAGCTCTCAGATGTCAGATGTCTCTGTTCACTGGGTCCTCTATACCCTGGATCTGGGCTTGCTGTCCCCCCTAATCCTGAGTTGCTCTGTCCCCCAGATCCTGGGTCTGACCCTCTTCTGGCCCTGTCCTACTCCAGCCTAACCATGCCTTCTGCAGGTCTCAGAGACCTTGGTACAACGCAATGGCGACTTCCTCATCCGGGACTCGCTCACCAGCCTGGGCGACTATGTGCTCACGTGCCGCTGGCGCAACCAGGCCTTGCACTTCAAGATCAACAAGGTGGTGGTGAAGGCAGGCGAGAGCTACACACACATCCAGTACCTGTTTGAGCAGGAGAGCTTCGACCATGTGCCCGCCCTTGTGCGCTATCATGTGGGCAGCCGCAAGGCTGTGTCAGAGCAGAGTGGTGCCATCATCTACTGCCCGGTGAACCGCACCTTCCCACTGCGCTACCTCGAGGCCAGCTATGGCCTGGGACAGGGGAGTAGCAAGCCCGCCAGCCCTGTCAGCCCCTCAGGCCCCAAGGGCAGCCACATGAAGCGGCGCAGCGTCACCATGACCGACGGGCTCACTGCGGACAAGGTCACCCGCAGCGATGGCTGCCCCACCAGGTTAGCCAGGGCCCCATTTGTCAAATGGGGATGTGGGTAATGAGAGGGCTAGTGAGAAAAGGAAGGGCCAGGCACACTGAAATGGGATGAAATTCCCCTCCTGGAGCCTCTGTGTGCAGGGAGGAATGGGAGGAAGGTTGGGCCATACTGTGTGGATGTACGGAACGAAGGACTTGCAGGGAGTCAGACCCAAGTGGCAGTCCCAGCTCTGCCACTTGCTGGCCATGTGCCCTTGACCCTGTCACCTCTCCTTTATTATCTCCATGTTCCTACCTATAAAGGCTTTCATTCAAGCAGCCCTCCCTATGCCAGGGGAGCCCTGAGTCCTGAACCAGAGAAGGGCCTGGTCCCTGCCACCTGATGCCACCCCTTCATCCTACACAGCTAGGCCAAGGTGGGCATCCGAGCAGAGGGCTTTACAGCATGGAAATCACTGCACAGGGAATGGGATGTTCTCAGCAAATTTTAATTACACCTGGTTGTCTCTGGGGCTAAAACCAGGCCCTGGATGCCAGGAAAAGCCACAGCAGCTGCTGGTTCCTGAGATCCTACTAAGTGTTAAGTGCTGTACGTGGCCAATCTCATCAACGCCCACTTCCTCCTGGGAGGTGGGTCCTGCCCATACACCCAATTTGTAGATGAGGACATAGGCTTAAAGGGGGGAAGCTGCTTGCTAGAGAGTGGGTAGGATCAAGATTCGAACCCAGGTCTGTAGACTCTGCAGTCTGTGCCCCAAGTTTCTGTAGCTTCCCTGGCTATTTGCAGAGATCGGCTGTCCTGTGCCACCAGCACTTGGATAGGCCCTTGAGGCCCCATCTCCCGGGGGCTGGGTTGGGTGCTCCCAGTCAAGGAATTGATGAATGGATACCCTGTGGGCAGCAGCCACTTGGCCTGTGGTTTGGAGCCAGTAAACATAATGGTGCCAGGATCCATAGACCATGTGTGCCTGAGGCATCCTGAGCATAGTTGGGAGCAGTGAGGAGAGGTCAGGATGGTGGGCCTACTTCCTAAGGCTCCCCACTCTTCCTGCTAGCCCCTCTCCCCAGACCGTTCTCCAGGTCGGAGGAAAGATTCTGCTTATCAAGCTAAGGGCACTAGTGAGGAGTCATGTCTGCCCAGAGAATGGTTGTAGTCGACTAATTTGCACAAAGGCACTCGTGGGGTGTTGAATTCTGGCCTGTACCTCCTTTCCCATCCCCTCCTCCTCAGGCAAGGAGAGGAACAGAGGAGCGTGAGAAGCGTTGGCTCAGCTGGGTGCCCCCAAGCCTCATCCTCAGGCTGCTCTAGGCTTCGTGGGAGGGGAAGCTGGGTAGGAATGGAGGAGAGCAGGGTCATGCGGAGGATACCGACTAGGAACTGGGCTGATGGCCAAGCACAGTGGCTCGTGCCTGTAATCCCAGCACTTTGGGAGGATGAGGTGGGCGGATCACCTGAGGTCAGAAGTTCAAGACAAGCCTGGCCAACATGGTGAAACTCCATCTCTACTAAAAATACAAAAAATTAGCCAGGCTTGGTGGCGGGCACCTGTAATCCCAGCTACTTGGAGGCTGAAGCAGGAGAATGTCTTGAATCCGGAAGGTGGGTTCAGCAGTTGCAGTGAGCTGAAATCACGCCATGGCACTCCAGCCCGGGCGACAGAGTGAGACTCCATCTCCAAAAAAAAAGGGAAGAAACCAGGCGTGCTCGCCACCAGGGTTCCTAGCTCTGCTCCTGACTCCCTATGTCCCCTCCCTCCTCTGGGCTTCAGGTTTTTTTGTACCTATCAGTCGGGAGGTTGGATTTGATAATCTCCAAGCCTTCTCTGCCTCTGAAGTTCAAGGTGTGGCCGGGCGCGGTGGCTCACGCCTGTAATCCCAGCACTTTGGGAGGCCGAGGCGGGCGGATCACGAGGTCAGGAGATCGAGACCATCCTGGCTAACACGGTGAAACCCCATCTCTACTAAAAATGCAAAAAATTAGCCGGGCGAGGCGGCGGGCGCCTGTAGTCCCAGCTACTCGGGAGGCTGAGGCAGGAGAATGGCGTGAACCCGGGAGGCGGAGCTTGCAGTGAGCCGAGATCGCGCCACTGCACTCCAGCCTGGGCGACTAAGCGAGACTCTGTCTCAAAAAAAAAAAAAAAAAGAAAAAGAAAAAGAAGTTCAAGGTGAAGAGGTGGGGGGGTCCCAGAGGCAGGCTGAGGCCCCTGACTTCTGGGCTCCCTGCCCATGATGGTATCTGCTCCACAGTACGTCACTGCCCCGCCCTCGGGACTCCATCCGCAGCTGTGCCCTCAGCATGGACCAGATCCCGGACCTGCACTCACCCATGTCGCCCATCTCCGAGAGCCCTAGCTCCCCTGCCTACAGCACTGGTATGGCCGGCAGAGGGGGTGGAGCAGGTGGAGGGAATCTGTTGTTGAAGACTTCTGTAACCTATGTGTGGTTATGTATGTTTCCGCCTCTTTTCTGAGGCGAGACCTTTACTAAGAGCAATAATTGACGCTGGAAACCTGCTAGCAGAACTGTTGATATCAACATATAAGATGTATCCATGGATTGTTTATTTAGCAACTATTTATTTATTTATTTATTTTCGAGGCAGTTTTGCTCCTGTTGCCCAGGCTGGAGTGCAGTGGCGGGATCTTGGCTCACTGCAACCTCCGTCTCCTGGGTTCAAGTGATTCTCCTGCCTCAGTCTCCCAAGTAGCTGGGATTACAGGTGTCCGCCACCACGCCTGGCTAATTTTTGTATTTTTAGTAGAGACGGGGTTTCGCCATGTTGGCCAGAGTGGTCTCGAACTCCTGACCTCAGGTGATCCACCTGCCTCGGCTTCCCACAGTGCTGGGATTAGAGGCGTGTGCCACCACGCCCAGCTAATTTTTGTGTTTTTAGTAGAAACAGGGTTTCACCATGTTGGCCAGGCTGGTCTCGAACTCCTGACCTCAGGTGATCTGCCCACCTTGACCTCCCAAAATGCTGGGATTACAGTCATGAGCCACTACGCCCGGCCTCTATTTTTCTTAATAGACTTTATTTTTTAGAGCAGTTTTAGGTTCACAGCAAAATTAAGTGGAAAGTACAGAACACTGTGCTTTTTTTTTTTTTTTTTTTTGAGACGGAGTCTCGCTCTGTCGCCCGGGCTGGAGTGCAGTGGCCGGATCTCAGCTCACTGCAAGCTCCGCCTCCCGGGTTTACGCCATTCTCCTGCCTCAGCCTCCCGAGGAGCTGGGACTACAGGCGCCCGCCACCTCGCCCGGCTAGTTTTTTGTATTTTTCAGTAGAGACGGGGTTTCATCGTGTTAGCCAAGATGGTCTCGATCTCCTGACCTCGTGATCCGCCCATCTCGGCCTCCCAAAGTGCTGGGATTACAGGCTTGAGCCACCGCGCCCAGCTTACACTGTGCTTTCTTATAAATACGAAGAAAGTTTCTATGTTAGAAACATTCCGGCCAGGCATGGTGGCTCACGCCTATAATCCCAGCACTTTGGGAGGCCGAGGAGGGCAGATCACTTGAGGTCAGGAGTTCAAGACCAGCCTGGCCAACACGGTGAAACCCCACCTCTACTGAAAATATAAAAAATTAGCCAAGCATGGTGGCGCACGCCTGTAATCCCAGCTACTTAGGAGGCCGATGCAGGAGAATCGCTTGAACCCGGGAGGCAGAGGTTGCAGTGAGCCGAGATCGTGCCACTGCACTCCAGCCTGGCTGACAGTGAGACTCTGTCTCAAAAAACAAAACAAAACAAACAAAACAAAAAAAACTTCTGTGGCTCACACCTGTAATCCCAGCACTTTGGGAGGCCGAGGCGGGCGGATCACGAGGTCAGGGGATCGAGACCATCCTGGCTAACACGGTGAAACCCCGTCTCTACTAAAAATACAAAAAACTAGCCGGGCGTGGTGGCGGCGCCTGTAGTCCCAGCTACTCGGGAGGCTGAGGCAGGAAAATGGCGTGAACCCGGGAGGCGGAGCTTGCAGTGAGCTGAGATCACGCCACTGCACTCCAGCCTGGACGACAGAGCCAGACTCCGTCTCAAAAAAAAAAAAAAAAAAAGAAACATTCCAATAGGTCATTTCTGGAAAAAAATGAAAAGGATGTTTTCAACAGGCCATATTGTCCACGTGGCAGGCCAAGTGTCATGAGAGGGGGCTGTCTTAGGAGGAACTTTTGCCTAGGGTGGCATTCCATTGAAGTCTTGCTGTCTTTATCAGTTGTCACAAATCCTTCCCTAAACACAGAGCCACCAACTTTGTCATAACTACAAACTTGATTTCAAAGCAATACCCCTGAGTATAAAACCTAAAATTCCTTGCCAGAATGACTTATTGGACAATTTCTAAGCAATCTGGTATAGTAAAGCAGCCCAGATGTCAAGACTTAAATCCTGGCTGTACTGCTTGCTGGCTCGGTGACCTTGGGCAGGTCAGTGCACCTCTCTGAGCTTCACTTTTCTCATCTGTAGAATGAGGATTATAAAAGTACTTACTTCATAGGACATTGAAAGGGTTAAATAGACTGAGGCACAAAGAAGGGTCTCGCAGGCACTAAGAGCTCAGTAAATATCGTCTTTGAGGTTTGATGATGGTTTTACCGTGGTTATGTCTCCAGCATGTTGCCAGCTCCTGGGCACACAATGTATAGCAACAAATCATTATTGCTAATTCAGGCCGGGCGCGGTGGCACCACACATCTGTAATCCCAGCTACTCTGGAGGCTGAGGCACAAGAACTGCTTGAACCTGGGAGGCGGGGGTTGCAATGAGCTGAGATTGTGCCATTGCACTGCAGCCTAGGCAACAGAGCGAGACTCTGACTCAAAAAAAAAAAAAAAAAAATTAGCTGGGCGTTGTGGCACATGACTGTAATCCCAGATATTCAGGAGGCTGAGGGTCAAGAATTGAAGAATTGCTTAAACCCAGGAGGTGGAGGTTGCAGTGAGCCTAGATGGCGCCACTGCACTTCAGCCTGGGTGACAGAACGAGACACTGACTCAAAAAAAAAAAAAAAAAAGGAAATAATTATTGCTAACTCGTTGAGAAACAATCGCGTGTGGCACAAGAAACTCCAGCAGATACTCAGCTTCCCTGAATCACTGAAGCTCCTCCAAGCAGTGGGTCCCCAAGGCTGCAGCAGCCTCAGGGTGGGGCCATGCAAACTCCTAGGTCCTGGTGATTTCAGAGCATCACCTGGGCTGGTCAGCTTGCCAGAGTCAGCTGGCCCTGGTCTCTGGTGATGCAGGGAGGTGGGGACATCACCTCTGTACTCCCTACAAGGAGTGAGGGAGCCTGCTCTTTGGGAAGGGGTGCGGGAATCTCACTTTGGTGGGGAGCTGCTATAAGGGGACCTCTCTCTCTTTTCTGCAGTAACCCGTGTCCATGCCGCCCCTGCAGCCCCTTCTGCCACAGCACTGCCTGCCTCCCCTGTCACCCGCCGTTCCAGTGAGCCCCAGCTGTGTCCCGGAAGTGCCCCAAAGACCCATGGGGAGTCAGACAAGGGCCCCCACACCAGCCCCTCCCACACCCTCTGCAAGACCTCCCCGTCACCGTCACTCAGCAGCTACAGTGACCCGGACTCTGGCCACTACTGCCAGCTCCAGCCTCCCGTGCGTGGCAGCCGAGAGTGGGCAGCAGCTGAGGCCTCCAGCCGGCAGGCCAGGAGCTATGGGGAGAAGCTAAAGGAACTGTCAGAAAATGGGGCCCCCGAGGAGGACTGGGGCAAGACCTTCACCGTCCCCATCGTGGAAGTCACTTCTTCCTTCAACCCGGCCACCTTCCAGTCACTACTGATCCCCAGGGATAACCGACCACTGGAGGTGGGCCTTCTGCGCAAGGTCAAGGAGCTGCTGGCAGAGGTGGATGCCCGGACACTGGCCCGGCATGTCACCAAGGTGGACTGCCTGGTAGGTGTTGGCTGTGCACTGGGGTGGAGGGAGCATCTCCGTTCTATGGGGCAGGGCAATGAGAAACTGGCTTCCAGATTCCCCGAGTACAACAGGTGGGCCTGGATTCTAGCTCCCTGGCTGTCCTTTGCCTGCTGTGTGACTCTGGGCTGGTCATTTAGCCTCGCTGGGCCTCCAGTTTCTCCTTTTAAAAAGCACATAAGGCCAGGGGTGGTTGCTCATGCCTGAATCCCAGCACTTCAGGAGGCCGAGGCGGGCGGATCACCTGAGGTGAGGAGTTCAAGACCAGCCAGGCCAACATGGGAAACCCCATCTCTACTAAAAATACAAAAATTAGCTAGGTGTCGTGGTGGGCACCTGTAATCCCAGCTACTCGGAAGGCTGAGGCAGGAGAATCACTTGAACCTGGGAGGTAGAGGTTGCAGTGAGCCGAGATCGCACCAGTGCACTCCAGCCTGGGCAACAGAACGACACTATTCAAAACACACACACACACACCACACACACACACACACACACGATATCCTTGCTTCCTCCAGATGTCAGTTTGGCTACAACTGGGCAGACCTGAAACCCAGTGGTCTCTGGCTCCCTGAGGCACTTGGGGACACTTCTGTAGTGTGCCATAGAGCCTCTTGAGGGTTAGCCAGCTTGTCCTGGGACTAGAAAAGGCCTGACTCTCCGCCCCCACCCCCTCTAGTGGACAAATAAGCAGAAATCATTACCTCCTCGGCCCATAAGTTGTCAATGCCCGGGCCTTAGCTGTGTTGAATCATTGAACACCTGAAGACCCCAGTTCTCTCTGTGCCTCAGTTTCTCCTTTCTTGGGAGAAATTGATCATCAGGTTATACTGGTCTCAGAGCACGGGAAGCAAGAAAAGAGTCAAGGCAGAGATGTTGCTCCATGAAGAGTCCAGGGTGGCAGGGAGGACCCAGGTTCTAGGCCCAGTGTGTGACCTTGGGCAAGCCCATTCCCTGCCCGGGCTTCAGGTTTCCCTCTGCAATGGACAAGTATCCGGCTCTTAACCTTAACTGAATAATTATTTATTTATTTATTTTATTTTTATTTTTTGAGATGGAGTCTCATTCTGTCACCCAGGCTGGAAGTGCAGTGGCGTGATCTCGGCTCACTGCAACCTCTGCCTCCTGGGTTCAAGCGATTCTCCTGCCCCAGCCTCCCGAGTAGCTGGACTACAGGCACACGCCACTGTATCCGGCTAATTTTTGAATTTTTGGTAGAGATGGGGTTTCGCCATGTTGGCCAGGCTGGTAACGAACTCCTGATCTCAGGCGATCTGCCCATGTCAGCCTCCCAAAGTGCTGGCATTACAGGCGTGAGCCACCCCACCTGGCCAACCTTAACTGAATAATATGCCAGGCACCTCTGGGCATTCTCACTTCACAGATGGGGAAACTGAGGCTCGTTGAGAAAGGCAGAGTCACTTGCTCCATATCAGAGGGTTAGCGGTGGAGCTGGAATTCAAACTCCGCCTTCCAACCAGGCTACCCACTTAGATAAAGCTCTCTGACTCCCAGATGGCTGGGGCCAGCCCTGACAGGATATTAATCAGCCCTCTGGGCGTCTTTGCAGGTTGCTAGGATACTGGGCGTTACCAAGGAGATGCAGACCCTAATGGGAGTCCGCTGGGGCATGGAACTGCTCACCCTCCCCCATGGCCGGCAACTACGCCTAGACCTGCTGGAAAGGTGAGACAGCGCCGGCACCCGGGGACTCTCGGGGAACCCCCGGCTACCGCACTCCCCGCTGTACAGGGCAGGTTGGCCAATCACAGCCTCAGCTCGGCTCCCAGGGCTCTGGCCACGCCTCCCATCCCATTGACCAATCGCAACCCCTGATAACCCGCTCTAAGCAAGCTGATTTCCCAAAGACTGAATCCTGTATCTCCGCATTCGCCTTCCTTTCGCATCCCCTTGACCAATCATCCCCTTGACCATCAGCCCGGCCTCGCCTATCAGCTCGGAGTCCTCCTTGTTCATTCTTAAAACTGCTTTGCGTGGCCGGGCGCGGTGGCTCAAGCCTGTAATCCCAGCATTTTGGGAGGCCGAGGCGGGCGGATCACCTGAGGTCAGGAGTTCGAGACCAGCCTGGCCAACATGGCGAAACCCTGTCTGTACTAAAAATTAACAGGGCGTGGTGGCACGCGTCTGTAATCCCAGCTACTCTTGAGGCTGAGGCAGGAGAATCGTTTAAGCCCAGGAAGCGGAGGTTGCAGTTAGCCGGGATCGAGCCATTGCACTCCAGACTGGGCGACGAGCGAGACTCCGTCTCAAAAAACAAACAAACAAAAACAACCAAACTGCTCTGCGTGACGCATCTCCCTGTTCACCCACAGCTCTGGCCCCGCCCCTGACTTATGCTGACCAATCAGAAGCCTGGGGCCTTGTTTTCCACGCTCTGGCCCCGCCCCCTTATCCCATTGACCGTTACAACCTCTCACGTTGGCTCCGCCCTCCGCCCCTCCCGGCCCAACCACAGGCAGCGCCCCAGGCCCGCACCCCTCACCCCTGTCCCTGAGCCCGCCGCCTCTTACCCCGCCGCTCTGACAGGTTCCACACCATGTCCATCATGCTGGCCGTGGACATCCTGGGCTGCACTGGCTCTGCGGAGGAGCGGGCAGCACTGCTGCACAAGACCATTCAGCTGGCGGCAGAGCTGCGGGGGACTATGGGCAACATGTTCAGCTTCGCGGCGGTCATGGGTGCCCTGGACATGGCCCAGGTACTGAGAGCCGCGCAGAGCCGGCATCCGGTAGACTGTCTGGAAGAGCCCTGGGGTGCCTTTGGGATGGCTGTGTATGGAGTCAGGAGGAGGTTTGGAGTTTCTAGGCACCATTGGTGCCTAGAACTGAGTTCTGCAAGTGCACCCACAGCAAGTTCTTCCCCTTCTCTGGGCCTCAGTTTCCTCGCTTGTAAAATAAAACGAATGAGGAGCATTATATGAGTTTAAAGAATAAGAATAGGCCGGGCGCCGTGGCTCATGCCTATAATCCCAGCACTTTGGGAGGCTGAGGCGGGCGGAACACGAGGTCAGGAGTTCAAGACCAGCCTGGCCAATATGGTGAAACCCCGTTTCTACTAAAAAGTACAAAAAATTAGCCGGGTGTGGTGGTGCGCGCCTGTAATCCCAGCTGCTCAGGAGGCTGAGGTAGGGGAATCGCTTGAACCAGGGAGGCGGAGGTTTCAGTGAGCCGAGATCACACTTCTGCACTCCACCCTGGGCAACAGAGTGAGACTCTGTCTCAAAAAAAATAAATAAATAAAAAGAATAAGAATAAAGTAGTAACCATTTAGTGAGTATTTCCTATAGGCTAGGTAGTATACTAAGTACTTAACCAGCACTGATTCCTCAGAACCATCTCATGAAGTAGGTGCCTTCAGCGTCCACATTTTACAAATGGAGTGTTTGAGACAGAGTAGTCCTAGCCTAAGGTCACACGCTCAGAGGCTGAAAGAATTAGGACTTGAACCAGGTCTAGCTGACTTCACAGCTGAGCCTGCCTCTCCTATGCCTAATAAATAAGAACAATGGCCAGGCGCGGTGGCTTATGCCGGTAATTCCAGCACTTTGGGAGGCTGAGGAGGGAGGACAGATCACCTGAGGTCAGGAGTTCGAGACCAGTCTGAGCAACATGGTGACACCCGTCTCTACTAAAAATACAGAAAAATTAGCCGGATGTGGTGGTGCATGTCTGTAGTCTCAGCTACTCAGGAGGCTGAGGCAGGAGAATCGCGTGAACCCAGGAGGTGGAGGTTGCAGTGAGCCGAGATTGCGCCACTGCACTCCAGCCTGGGTGACAGAACGAGACTCCATCTCAAATAAATAAATAAATAAATAAATAAATAAATAAGAACAACAAGGTCCCAGAGGCAGTGTCCTGGGTTCAGCTCCCAGCTCTGCCACTTTCTTTTAGAATCACCTTGGGCAAGTCATTCCCCTCTCTTGAGTCTTAGTCCCCTAATCTGTAAAATGGGTTTTGTGAGAGCTTCATGGTAGACATGAAAAGCAGTCATCACTGTCCCTAGTACACGAAGGATGGCCATAATAATAATACTGATCCCACATCTGGGTGTCCACTCAGCAGGGCAGCAGGGTGGCCGCTGCAGGCCCTCTGCCTGGCTGGTCTCTCACAGTTTGGCCTCCCCAGATTTCTCGACTGGAGCAGACATGGGTGGCCCTGCGGCAGCGACACACAGAGGGTGCCATCCTGTACGAGAAGAAGCTCAAGCCTTTTCTCAAGAGCCTCAACGAGGGCAAAGGTACTTTCTTGTTGTGTGACCTTGGACAGGTTGCAGCCCTCCCTGGGGTCCCAGCATGGACAGGGATGAGAGCCTGGCTGAACTCTGTGCAAGCTACTTTCCCTGAGCTCACTGTCCCTGCTGGCAGCTGTGTCAGCCTTGTTCACATCCAGGCTGGGCCAGGGCTGCTGTGGGTTCAGTTGGGGGAATCCGAAAGGAAGGGTTTGTCCCAGGAGTCAGAAGCCCTTGAGGATCTCTGGGACCTCAGCCAGGCCGGTTCCCTCCTGCACCTCGGCTTCCGGGACTGCAGTGGATGGTGGGCACTACAGGATCTCTAAGGGCCTGCTGCCTTTCTCCCTGCAGAAGGCCCGCCGCTGAGCAACACCACGTTTCCTCATGTGCTGCCCCTCATCACCCTGCTGGAGTGTGACTCGGCCCCACCCGAGGGCCCTGAGCCCTGGGGCAGCACGGAGCATGGCGTGGAGGTGGTGCTGGCCCACCTGGAGGCTGCCCGGACAGTGGCACACCACGGAGGCCTGTACAACACCAATGCTGAGGTCAAGCTGCAGGGTGAGTGGCGGGTGGCATCTTCGGGGGCTTGCAGGCCTGGGCCTCCCTCCACCTGCCTCACTGTTTCCCTTTCCTCCAAGGCATCCATTCACATTTCTGCACTCCTCTGTCCTGCCCTGTCTCCCTGACCCCTTCCTCTTATGTCTTTTCTTTTCTTTTTTTTTTTTTTTGAGACGGAGTCTTGCTCTGTCACCCGGGCTGGAGTGCAGTGGCCGGATCTCAGCTCACTGCAAGCTCCGCCTCCCGGTTTCACACCATTCTCCTGCCTCAGCCTCCCAAGTAGCTGGGACTACAGGTGCCTGCCACCTCGCCCGGCTAGTTTTTTTGTATTTTTTAGTAGAGACGGGGTTTCACCGGGTTAGCCAGGATGGTCTCGATCTCCTGACCTTGTGATCCGCCCGTCTCGGCCTCCCAAAGTGCTGGAATTACAGGCTTGAGCCACCGCGCCTGGCCTCTTTTCTTTTCTTTTCTTTTTTTTTCTTTTTGAGATGGAGTCTTACACTGTCGCCCACGCTGGAGTGCAGTGGCACAATCTCAGCTCACTGCAACCTCCGCCTTCCAGGTTCAAGGGAATCTCCTGCCTCAGCCTCCCGAGTAACTGCAATTGCAGGCGTGGGCCACCATACCTGGCTAATTTTTTGTACTTTTAGTAGAGGCGGGGTTCCACCATGTTGGCCAGGCTGGTCTTGAACTCCCGACCTCAGGTGATCCGCCTGCCTCAGCCTCCCAAAGTGCTGGGATTACAGGTGTGAGCCACCGCGCCTGGCCTAAAATTTATGTGTGTTTCTTAGGAAAGAATTTGGAACTTAACAGAAAAATATAAAAAAAGAAAAAAATCACCAAAAATCTGCAAACATATTTAACATTAGTATTTTATGGTCTAGTCATTTTTAAATTATACGCTGCAAATAACAGGACAAAGATGCTAAACTACAGGGTCATGTTGATTCACAAACCTTGTTGGATCCCTGGCGGAGTTGAGGGGAGGTCCCTAACAGGGGGGGCCCTGAAGAATGCCAGGGCTCTGGACAGGAACCCCAGCCTCTGGCCTGACCCTGTGCCCCAACACTGCAGGGTTCCAGGCCCGGCCGGAGCTCCTGGAGGTATTCAGCACGGAGTTCCAGATGCGCCTCCTCTGGGGCAGTCAGGGTGCCAGCAGCAGTCAGGCCCGGCGCTATGAGAAGTTCGACAAGGTCCTCACTGCCCTGTCCCACAAGCTGGAGCCTGCCGTCCGCTCCAGCGAGCTGTGATCCCAGGGACGTTTCCCCTCTGCAGCTGCGGACAGCGTCAGGGGCAGAGGGGGCACAAACCTTTCCCCAGAGCACCCCAAGGACACTGTGATCAACCCGAGAATGTTCTGGGTTCAACTCAAGCATCTCCCTTGCACCTCCAGGGTCCTGCGTGGACCCTGGGTTCCATCCCACCTGCTACACGCTCACCAGGTCTCCGTTGAGGAAGAACAGGAACGCCGGTTCCCCCACCAGCTTTTGCTGCTCCCCTTCCTGCTGGGGTTCCCTGTTTTCGAGCCACGGGAGGCAGGCTGCTCACGCCTCCTCACTCTCCGTCTGTCCCTCACCCACACCAAGGCCTCCGTCTCACTGTAAATAAGTCTCTGTGTTCTCTGTAAATAGATGTACAGAAGCCATGTTATTTCTTTCATATAATAAACTTTTATGACTCTTTATTCTGTCTCTCGGGCTCCTGGGGTAGAAGGAAGCACCTTTTCTCAGGTGAAAGGTAGAACGTTCAACAAATGTTGTGAGTGAGTGGCGAGTATCTGGGGCCAGTGGCATGGGAGTAAGAAGAATTTACCAAGACAGTTGTAGGTAAAGAAAGGCAGATTTATTAGAGAAAGCATGAAAATGCATTGCAAGGTAGCGATGGGCAGGTCAGCAGAAGAGGAGCTGACTGTGAAGAGACAAAGCCTTGCTGTGAGTTTTTACGGGATGGTGTTTCCGCTGTGTGCTCAGCAGGGCTTTCCGCAGTACACCAAGGTTGCAGTGGGCTAACCTACAGGTGTCTGGTGAGAAGTTGGGCACAGGAGGGCTGTGTGACCTGAACCATCGAGAAGGCAGACATCTGGCTGGGCGCGGTGGCTCACGCCTGTAATCCCAGCACTTTGGGAGGCCGAGGTGGGCGGATCACGAGGTCAGGATATTGAGACCATCCTGGCTAACGTAGTGAAACCTCGTCTCTACTAAAAATGCAAAAAATTAGCTGGGTGTGGTGGTGGACGCCTGTAGTCCCAGCTACTTGGGAGGCTGAGGCAGGAGAATGGCATGAACCCAGGAGATGCAGCTGACAGTGAGCCAAGATCGCATCACTGCACTCCAGCCCGGGTGACAGAGCGAGACTCTGTCTCAAAAAAAAAAAAAAAAAGGCTGACTTTGAGCTTATCTGCTTTCTCTTTTTGCTTTCCCCTGGTCCTATCAGCATGACTCATTTTCCCTAATCAGGACTTCACAACAAATACTTCTTCAGCACCTGCAACAGTCCAGATTGTGCCAGGAGCCAGGGTTACAGCAAGTATGAAAACCCAGTCCTTGCTCTCTGGGAGCTCACAGACCAGTGGGAGAGATAAACAGCTAATTCCAACCCAGTGCTCCTACCGCCTGCCCTGCCCCGGGATGCCATGGCAACAGTTCCCACAAATGCACAACCAAAAATCCGAGGAACTGGGGTGGAAGGGCTTATTGAAATCTATGATCCCAACTCCCCTCTGGAAGACTGATACCTGAAAGGAGAAGGGACTTTTCCCGGGTCACAGCAGCAGAGCGGGAAAGGCTCCACCTGGCTTCCCGGACCCAGACTTCTCTCCTTTTTTCTCCTTGATAGTGGAAACTACTCATTTTCTTTTTCTTTTCTTTTCTTTTTTCTTTCTTTCTCTCTTTCTTTTCTCTCTCCTTCCTTCCTTCCTTCCTTCCTTCCTTCCTTCCTTCCTTCCTTCCTTCCTTCCTCCTTTCCTTCCCTTCCCTTTTTGTTTTTTTTCTTTTTCTTTCTGAGACGGAGTTTCACTTATGTCACTGTAACCTCCGCCTCCCGGGTTAAAGTGATTCTCCCACCTCAGCCTCCAGAGTAGCCAGGATTACAGGCGCCTGCTACCACGCCCGGCTAATTTTTGTATTTTTAGTAGAGACGGGGTTTCGCCATGTTGATTCGTCCGCCTCGGCCTCCCAAAGTGCTGGGATTATTGGCATGAGCCACCGCACCCGCCCCAACTACTTCTTTCTTTTCAGGCTTTGATATTTGGCCCCCGAAGCCTTGGGGTGTGTGTGTGTGTGTGTGTGTGTGTGTGTGTGTGTGTGTGTGTGACTGTGTTGAGGTTGGTAGGGACAGGGTCTTTGAGGTGGGCCATGAAGGCTGTTGTCTTGGTTCCCTTACTCCAGTGGGTGGGGGAGGTGGGCAACAGGGATCAAAACGAATCCAGGCCAAGCTGGAGGCCTGGGAAGCCTGTGCGCTGAACCTCAAACGTCTGGAGTCCTTTGCCTTCTGAATCTTTTGACCAAGAGAGGCTGATAACATGCAACCGCGCACTAGGGCTCTGGCAGCAGCCAGACTTGGGTTTAGTTCTATTGTTTACCAGCTGTGTGACATTGAGTAAAAGGCTTAACCTCTTCGGTCCCAAATGCCTCCTTATTAACATGGGGACAACAAAACCCATCTCCTAGAACTGATGCCAAGCATTTGGCCACAGTTGCTGCTAGGTGAGGGAAAGTCCTGTTTCATACACAACGGAATGTTGATAATCATTTATTGATCACTTTCAGAGCCTAACAATTTGTGTGCCTTTATCTCATTGAAACACCACCATTTCTCTGGATAGCAGATACTATTACTATATTATAAGTTATATAGACATTTAGCACTAATGGCACAGAGTAAGTGCTCACCAAAAACTGTTAGCAAGGGCACTTTTGTCACATAAAAGAAAAAAGGAGCATGGGAAAGGCGCTTTGCAAGGTGTAAGGTTCCGCACAAGTTTTTGCTGTAATTGTTACGTCGCCCTTTGTGGTCATAATCCTTTATTTATTCTTTCTGAGTTACTACGATGGTCCCCTAGTTACCGTGGCCATGGAAACGCGGCCCGCCGTCCCGGATTGGACGGTTCGCGGGTTCCCCCTGGAGGCCACCTTCTGGTCCTGCTGCGAAAAGACGGGGCCTGCCTTGGAGACGGGGAGAGGGGTGTCGGGAGTTGTAGGCGATGGGCGTGGCTGCTGCGGAGCGCTGCACGCCGGGAGTTGCAGTTCCCGGGCGAGGCAGTTGGCTGCTCCACACCGAGCTCGGGCCTCACCCGGATGGCGGCTGTGACGCGCAGCTGCCGGCCCTGGGGCTCGCTCCTCGGGCTGTTCGGGCTGGTCTCGGCCGCGGCCGCCGCCTGGGACCTGGCTTCCCTGCGCTGCAACTTGGGCGCCTTTTGCGAATGCGACTTCCGGCCCGACTTGCCGGGTGAGGCGCCAGGGAGCCCGGAGCGAGGGGCGGGCGGACGCGGGCGCGCTGGGAGCCCTGCTGGCCCCGGCCTGAGCCGCTGAGGACTCAGAGGGTGGGACCCGGGGGCGGGGCCGGCAGACTTGCGAGGGTGGAGGGTACCCGTTGAGGTCCAGGAGGCCCTGCCAACCTGGAGAGACGCCTCAGCCAGCAGAGCCCTTTGGGGGAGATCTTGGGCCTCCCCGGAATGGCCTGGCCGTCAAGGGAGAAGAGCGCCTTGGGGATGGCCGGGGCCGGGGCTGACCTCGTTGACAGCTCGCATTTAGGGTTGAGTGCAATCTAGATGCCCGCCTGGTGGGGGCGCTGCCGAGCTGAATCAGGCCCGAAGGTGGCTCTTTTCCGCCACAGACCCCAAGGTCCCCGTGCCATGTGCATAGACAGCTTGGACAAACGTAAGGACACAGGAGTCCAGACATGACGTTCCCCTTGAACCTCTGCCTTGGTGGGATGTGTCCTCACCATCCTCCTGTGGCCCTAGGTCTGGAGTGTGACCTCGCTCAGCACCTGGCCGGCCAGCATCTGGCCAAGGCGCTGGTGGTGAAGGCGCTGAAGGCCTTTGTGCGCGACCCTGCCCCCACCAAGCCGCTGGTCCTCTCCCTGCACGGCTGGACCGGCACCGGCAAATCCTATGTCAGCTCCCTGCTGGCGCACTACCTCTTCCAGGGCGGCCTCCGCAGCCCACGCGTGCACCACTTTTCTCCCGTCATCCACTTCCCCCACCCCAGCCACGTCGAGCGCTACAAGGTAGGCTGGATGCGTCCTTGACCACTGTTCTCCTCACCATGGGGTGCCACCCTAGGGAGTAAGTCCTGAGCCCAGACAGGGGAGTCACCTGCTCCAGGCCACACAGCCGGCTGCAGCCCCAGCCCTCAGGACCCATCCTGCACAGAACTTGGGAAGGTGCCATTCTACCTTGCAGGGAGTACTTTGATTCCTTGGGGCAGTAAGGAACCTGGCAGTACCTACCTGCCAGGGTTGTTGTGAGGGACATGAGATTATATCATTGCAGATATTATTTATGGAGCACCTATGTTTGTCAGATAATCTGCAGTGTTGTCTTGCTGGAAATCCCCCCAATTTGTGGCTCAGAGTAAGCATCGGGAAATACTGGCTCTTACTACTACTGTTGTTGATTGCAAGGTACCCTCCAGGCTGATCAGTTTCAGCTGTCAACACTGCTGTGTAGTTTCAGGGAGCAGGAAGGAGCCTTCCTCTTTTATAGAAAGCAGCAGGTGTCATGCAAGGAGCCCTGAACAGGGAAGTGGGAGGCTTGGGTTTGAGTCCCTGTTCTGCTGCTGACCGGCTGTGTGGCTTTGGGCGAGTCTCTGCCCCTCTCTGGGATACAGTGTCACCATCAGTCTCACTAAGAGGTTGGTGCTCTCTGGGAGACCACATCTCCCTAGAAAGGAGGTTAGTTTTTGGTTTGGGAAGAGGTCTGGGGTTGGGGGAGTTTCTCCAGCCCCCCCTGGAACTCCTGTCTCTCTCCTACAGAAGGATCTTAAGAGCTGGGTCCAAGGGAACCTCACTGCCTGCGGCCGCTCCCTCTTCCTCTTCGATGAGATGGACAAGATGCCCCCAGGCCTGATGGAAGTCCTGCGGCCTTTCCTGGGCTCCTCCTGGGTTGTATATGGGACCAACTATCGCAAAGCCATCTTCATCTTCATCAGGTGGGGCCCGGCTTTGCAGCGGGCACGGTGGGGGGCCACTTCACAGAGGTTCAGCTCTGCAGCCTTGGCCTGTGCTCCCAGCAGAATCCAATTCCCCGTGGGCTTAGCTGGGCTTTCCCAGTGCCCCCCACCCTCTCAGAGATGACACTGTCATTCCGCCTGGTTGATTCCCTTTGGACACTCTCAGCCCATTCTGGGCTCAGTCTTTTTGATCACCACTTCCTTGTGGAAGCCCTGCCAGGTCGAGAACTTTTCCCTCTTTTGTGGTGAGGAGGACACAGGCCTGGGGAAAACAGGAACAGAGTTCTTGTCCTTTAGTCCCAGCTCTCAGAATCCTTGCTGCGTTTCCTCAGGCAGCATGGCTCCGCCTCTCTGAGCCTCTGTCTCTGCTTCTGAACAGCGGGGCCAATAATGATGCCCCGATATCTTCCTGGAAGTTTAGTGAGGGAAAGTCAGTTGAGGGACCCAAAAGCGTTTTGTAAACTGTAAAGTACATGGCATGTGTAGGTGAATTGCAGGGGCCGTGGATATGGACACCATGGAGGGGGAAGTGGAGCGTTTTCAGTGGGGTTGGCTCCTCCCTGCACCGGGCTGTGCTCCTGTCAGGTGGCAGCGGGGAGGCGAGGGTCCAATCCTGCCCTGCGCTAGTCCTTGTCTGAGTCTCAGCCTGGGTCCCCCATGGTTTTAGCAACACGGGTGGCGAGCAGATCAACCAGGTGGCACTGGAGGCGTGGCGCAGCCGCCGGGACCGCGAGGAGATCCTCCTGCAGGAGCTGGAGCCAGTCATCTCCCGCGCCGTGCTGGATAACCCACACCGTGAGTCTGGCTCAGCAGCGCCCCCCGGGCGGCTTCACCCCACGCCCAGGGGCCAGGCTTTCCCGGGGTCTCATGCTTTGCCCACTGACCTGCTAGTTCTGAGCCCGGCTTTGGCACTCCCAGCTCTGTGACCTTGGGTCAGCCTTACAGGCCCTGAGTCCTACACCCAGAAGGCGGCTGAGGGGACTGAGGCCAGCATCTTCCGTCCTGCCCCTGGGGGTTGGGGGCCAGCTTCTCCCCTCTTGTGAAGCACAAGGCCCCCTCCCCACCTGCCCTTCCTGCAGATGGCTTCTCACACTCGGGCATCATGGAAGAGCGCCTCCTAGACGCAGTGGTGCCCTTCCTCCCACTGCAGCGGCACCACGTCCGGCACTGCGTGCTCAACGAGCTGGCCCAGCTGGGCCTGGAGCCGAGGGATGAGGTTGTCCAGGCTGTGCTGGACAGCACCACCTTCTTCCCTGAGGACGAGCAGCTCTTCTCCTCCAATGGCTGCAAGACCGTGGCCTCTCGAATCTCCTTCTTTCTCTGACTCCCCGGGTGGTATCCTTGGCCCCTCTAATGGCCAGGCCATGCAGGAAAGGCCTGGGGCCTCTGTCACAGGAACCCAGCGCACCAAGTGAGATGAAGGGAGTGGCGGCTGGGCCACGGGACAGATGGCTGGGAAGGGCCCTGGCCTCTAACCTGGCTCAAGAGCATCTTGGCCCTGGCCACCTTCCCCAGGGAAACCCCTGGTCACCCCAGAACCTCACTGAGCCTTGACCTCGCCCTGCAGCCTGAGCCTTCTTACTGTGAATTATAACTCAGGGACTGTGGCTCGTGGCGGCGCTCCCTCCTCAGTCTGCCACCCTTGCCCCTTGCCTCCTTGGTCGGGCACCATGCCCCCTCCCCTCCACCCCACACCCTGTGTCCGTTTCATCAAGCCAGGTGGAGCCTTCTCAGTTTCTATAAATGGAGGGACTCAAGTTGCCACTTGGGCCTGGTTTTAGAAGTTTTTAATTTTGTAAAAGAAGAGAACAAGTATAATAAACTCAGCTATGGGACCAGAGGACTGTTTGCTAAGACTTTTAATTGCTCTGGAAGGAGGCAGCTGGCTCAGTGCCAGTGCTGGGGGGTGAGTAGAACTGCTCCCCTCCCCAGCAAGAAGTGAGGGGCTAGATGGTCCCTTCAGAGAGCTTCGTAGTAGGTGAGGTCCTGACCAACCTCAGTTTTGCTGACACTCGGGCTGGGTCCCCAGGTGGACTCAGCCTTGCTGGAAGTTGAGCTCATGCCCCGGCTCTTGCCCTGGGCAGCCTCAGCCTTGCTGGTTCTCTGGCCCTGGCCTTGAACATCCTCAGTCTTGCTGAGGCTCCAGTTTGAGTCATAGAAAGCCTCAGTCTTGGTGGAACTTCGGAGCAGTCCCCTGCTTCGGCCCTGGGTGGCATCAAGCTTGCTGGGTCTCCAGCTCCGGCCACGAGCAGCCTTGACCTTTCGGGGCCTCTGCCTTGGGCTCTGGGTGGTCTTGGTCTTGCTGGGCTCCTGCCTTGGGCCCTGGGAGGTCTCGATCTCGCTGGAGCTCTGCCTCTGGCCCTGAGTGGCCTCAGTCTTGCTGGAGCGCCGCCCTTGGCCCTGGGTGGCCTTGGTCTTGCTGGAGTTCCTCCTGTGTATGGCGGCCTTGGTCTTGCTGAAGTTCTGCCTCTGGCTCTGGGTGGCCTGGGTCTTGCTAAGGCTCTGCCTCTGGCCCTGGATGTCCTTGATTTTTCTGGGACCATGGCTCAATGCCTCCCTATTGTTCCCAGAGTCTGAGGATTGCGTCTTCAGCAGTGATGAGTCAGAGAATGTCATGGCGGTGGCTGAGGTGCTCCTGTATTCCTGGCAGATAGCCGACGTCTCAGTCTCTGAGGTGCATGTGGTCCTGACTGGGAAGGGTGTGCCAAGAGCACCCATCAGGCCTGCCGCACCTGCCCTGGACAGCTCCGGGAAAAGGGGCTTCCCAATTTCATACTGGCCTGTGGCCCTGAGGCTTCACATTGCCAAAGGGAAAGACCTGCAGATCATCCCCGCCCAGCCCCCCAGCGCCCCAGACCCTGAGGGGTGGGGCTGTGAGATGGGGGAGATGCCTAAGAGCCCCCTTCTCCCAGTCCCAGGCCTCTGCTCTGTGGCTGCCCCTACCCTCTGCTCCTGTTGCAGCAGACAGCCCCAGCAGAGCCCCTGCATCCCCCTGCCTAGCACCCTCCTGCCCTTCCATTCTTGTCCCCACTAAAAGGCGCTAAATGCACCCACAGCCCCAGCTTCCCCTGCACTGTGTCTGCCCTGTCTCCTGGCTGTCGGGTCACCTGGGAGCCTTCTTCCTGTTGGAGCTTAGAGCTCATGTCCCAGGGCAAGGACTATGCCAGTCATCCCTGTGCCCAGTGTTGAGCACAGGCCTGGCCCAGGGCACTCGGTGGGTTTGCTGGATGCACGAAATGAAGAAGGGGCCTGGGCCCTGCCACTCCCCTCCCCACCGAGGACTGTGCACACCCGCCCTGGGGCCTCTGAGGAGCAGCCTCCCCGTTCTTCACTTCTGTCTCCTCCAGGCTGGGGCCCCACGGAACTGGGGCTAAAAGCCTCCTGGCCATGCACAAGGTTTGCGGGCTTTTTTCAGGGACAGGGCTGGGAGGGGATGGGAGCAGAGTAGCAGCTATCATGAAGGGCCTGGAGCAAGCCTCGGCCTCCCTGCCCGTGTTGGGCACTGCCCGCTGAGTCCTCGGCAGGCCCAGCAAGAGTGTTACTCCCGCTGTAGAGCCACTCGCCCCAGGCCACCCAGCTGTCAGCAGCAGAGCCAAACTCACACCTAGGCCAGCGGTCTTCGACCCCTGACCTTTGACCACCCTGCTGCCTTAGCTTCCTGAGGCCTGGCGGGAGCCCCAGGGACTTACAGCTCATGCTGGAGGCTAAAGAGGTCTGGTCGAGGTAGCTCTCGGACAGGGACGCCACCTTGCTAGGTGTGAGCTTTGGTTTCTTCTCCTACGGCAAGAAACAGGCTTTGTAGTTCAGATGGCAGGAGGCCCACGCAGCTGCGCCTCTAGAAGGCCAGCAGCCCTGGGCCGCTCGGTGGTCATTCTCCTAAGCTCGGAGGTCCTTCAAGGTGCCAGGTTAGGGTGGGGTGGGGACACACAGAGGCTAAGCCTGGCAGGAACGGGGCGGCCAGGCTGGACAGGCATATGGTGCCATGAGGACGGTTGTGTTGAAGGGGCTGCTAGCGCCTTGGCTTTTTCAACTGCAAAATGAAAATTAGTTCAGGCGTGGGACAGGCTTCTGTAAATTATAAAGGGCTGTGCCCTGGGGAATGCTTAGGGAGGACTTGAGGTGCTTCTCTAGGCTTTACCCCCTTCCATTCTCCCAATACAAGTGGGGACGGAGGGATGGGGAGAGCTGCTAATGACCATTTCACCGACCAGGAAACTAAGGCTCAGAGCCCATAAGCAATCTGCCCAGGGCCACTCAGCCAAGGAGCAGAGAGGCCGAGTTTGAATCCAGGTCTGCTGGCCACCACAGCCAGACCCTACCTAGGCTGCAGGTCTCTGCCCACATTCACGGCTGCAGACAGCGAGGTGCACCATAGTGCTCCAGGCGCCAGCTGGGAGTTGTGCTCTGGGCTCCATCCACTTCAGCCCAACATCTCCCTGGGGGAGGGAGCCTCTGACTTCGGGGGGCACACAGAGGGAAGGTGTGTACTTTAATATTCATTCTAACATGAGCTAGAAAACTGAAGAGCTGCTGGGCGCGGTGGCTCACCCCTGTAATCCCAGCACTTTGGGAGGCCGAGGCGGGTGGATCTCGAGGTCAGGAGATCAAGACCATCTGGCTAATGCGGTGAAACCCTGTCTCTACTAAAAATACAAAAAATTAGCTGGGCATGGTGGCGGGTACCTGTAGTCCCAGCTACTTGGGAGGCTTGGGCAGGAGAATGGCGTGAACCTGGGAGGTGGAGCTTGCAGTGAGCCAAGATTGCACCACTGCACTCCAGCCTGTGAGACAGAGTGAGACTCCGTCTCAAAAAAAAAAAAAAAAAAAGAGAAAACTGAAGAGCTAGCGTTTTCTTTCCTCTTTTCTTTTCTTCTTTAGACAAGGTCTTGCTCTCTCACCTAGGCTGGAATGCAGTGCTATGATTACGGCTCACCGCAGCCTCAAGTGACTCTGGGGCTCAAGAGATCCTCTTGCCTCAGCCTCCCAAGTAGCTGGGACTATAGGCACACATCACCATGCCTGGCTAATTTTTGTATTTTCTTGTAGAGACAAGGGTTTTGCCATGTTGCCCAGGCTAGTCTTGAACTCCTGGGCTCAAGCGATCTGTCCATCTTGGCCGCCCAAAGTGCTGGGATTACAGGCATGAGCCACCGCGCCCGGCCACATTTTCTATTGATGGCAAGGGATGCTGGTATTCCTGTACTTCAATTGTGTAAAGTTTCCTTTGAACATTAGTGTACTTGATGTCTACCAGCAGTAGAACAGAGAAACACGCTGTGGGATTGTCAAGGACGGAATATTCTGCAGCACCAGAGACAGGGAGCAGGCTGCTGCCACCTGCTGCAGCGTGAGTGACGCTCACCATGCTGTCCATTTATGTGACGAAAAGACAAAAACTCATGTTTGGCGTTAGCAATCAGGACAGCCTTGTAGGTAGGGTGGGCTACGGGAGGGGCCTCGAAGGGGGCCCCAGTGGGCTTCTGGGAGCTGGGAAAGGGTTCTTTCTCGATCTGGATAATGATATCATGGGTGTCATGCAGTTGTGAAAATTCATCAAACTGGCACTTAGGATTTGTGCACTTTCCTATATTTATGTTACATTCAATAAGAGGTTTTCAGAAACAAATTTAAGAATTAAGAAAATTCTGGGGGCCGGGCGCAGTGGCTCATGCCTGTAATCCCAGCACTTTGGGAGGCCCAGGCATGCAGATCGCTTAAGTCTGATAAAAATACTAAAAATACAAAAAACTAGCCAGGTGTGGTGGCACACACCTGTTAATCCCAGCTACCTGGGAGGCTAAGGCATGAGAATTGCCTGAACCCAGGAGGTGGAGGTTGCAGTGAGCCGAGATCATGCCACTCTACTCCAGCCTGGGTGACAGAGCAAGACTCCGTCTCAAAAACAAAAAATTCTGGCACAAGTGGCAAGTGGCTAGTGCATACAGTAGAACTCCTGACAGTGACCATGAGCAGGGGTGTGACTCCTCTCTGTGAGGGCCCACATCCCCACACACCCTCCCTCAGGAGCACCATCCCCATCTCATAGCAAGATGTCCCCAGCCCATCACACAACTGAGGGAGTGCAGAGCCAGGCCTGGAAGCCAGACTCCACTGGCCTGCGTCCTTCAGCCCTGGACTGGGGTACGCTCTGCCCCAGACCCCAAGGGCTTCGGGCCCTGGCATGTGTTCCACTTACCTCTTTTTTCTCCTCCTCTTTCTGTTCCTCCTCCTCCTTCTGTTCCTCCTCCTCCTTCTCTTCCTCCTCCTTGGGGGCCTCAGCCTGTCCCTCTGAGCTTCCCGGTTCTACCTGCGGAATCTCAGGGGTGGCCTGCAGCTTCTCGGAGGTCTCAATCAAAGGCTCCCCCTGCTTCCATGAGCGCTGCAGGGCCAAGGCCTTCTGGCGCTCCAACTCCCACTGCTTAAGCATCCTGCCAAACAACGTCCCCCGGGCATTGTCAGTCTCCCTGGCCCATGCTGGTCTCTCCAAGGACTAGACAATGGCCCTGGCATGCAGTTGGAGCCAGAGGAGCCTAGAGCCACAGCCATTCCCCAGCCCTGGCCTGTACCCCCTGCTCCAGGGCTTACCCCACAATGCCTTGTGGGCCTCCAGCCTGCAGGCTGCCCTCCACCATCCGTTCCAGCTGCAGCCTGGCCAGGTGGGCTATCTGGGTGCTAAGCACCTCCTCCACAGACATGCCCGGGAAGAGGTTGGTCATCAGCAGGGACAGCTGCCATGAAAGGGGGTGACCAGAGCCAGGTGAGGGCCAGAGCAGCGGGCACACAGCCTGATGCTGCCCTGATCCCGCAGAGCCAGATTTGGCCCTTCCCAAGACTGAAGAAGGAAGAGTTTTGCAATGTTTTTTGTTTGCTTGTTTGTTTTGTTTTGTTTTTTGAGACAGAGTCTCACTCTATCGCCCAGGCTGGAGTGCTGTGGCACAATCTTGGCTCACTGCTACCTCTGCCTCCCTGCAACCTCTGCCTCCTGGGTTGAAGCAATTCTCATGACTCAGCCTCCTGAGTAGCTGTAATTATAACCGTGCACCACCACACCTGGCTAATTTTTGTATTTTTAGTAGAGATGGGGTTTCACCATGATGGCTGGGTGGGTCTCAAACTCCTGACCTCAGGTGATCCACCTGCCTCTGGCTCCCAAAGTGCTGGGATTACAGGCGTGAGCCACCATGCCTGGCCTTATGATTGTTATCAAACCAGATTTCTTTGGGGGCCGAGGAGTATCTTTATGCACCAGGCATGACTCCGGAGCCTACACTCCTGATGTGGCAGGAACCTACCTTTGGTTGCTTGGGGTTGAGGAGCAGGACAGTGGCCACATCCTGGCGTGCCCCAAAAATGTTCTGCAGCAGCTGCCGGCTCTTGGCCCGGTACAGGTAGTACTGGGCCTTCTGGGGGTTGTGCCGGATGGCCGTGGAGAAGTGGTCCTCTGCCTTCTGGAACTGCCTGCAGGACACAGTGGATTCCGAGCTGCCATGAGCTCGGCCATCTGTGGGGAAAAGGGTGGCTTCTGGGCCCCACTGAGGAGTTAGACGGAAACCAGGCTGGGTCTGCTCCCCTCACCATGCCCCTCTTCTCTCTCTCCACCAGCGACGTCCCTGATGGAGCCAACACTTAGATGCCAGTGTGAAACTCCACCATCAATGAATATTTTTATGATCTTGGGGTAGGGAAGGCCTTTCTGAGAATGCCATAAACCCATGAGCTAAAATGAAAATATTAATTTGACTATGATTAAGTTCCAAGTTATTGAGTAGTAAAAATATTACAAAGAAAACCAGCATAGGGAGGGCGTGGTGGCTCACGCCTGTAATCCCAGCACTTTGGGAGGCCGATCACCTGAGGTGGGGAGTTTGAGACCAGCCTGGCCAGGATGGTGAAACCCCGTCTCTACTAAAAATACAAAAATTAGCTGGGTGTGGTGGCAGGTGCCTGTAATCCCAGCTACTTGGGAAGCTGAGGCAGGAGAATTGCTTGAACCCAGGAGGTGGAGGTTGCAGTGAGCTGAGATTGTGCAATTGCACTCCAGCCTGGGTGACAGAGCGAGACTCCGTTTAAAAAAAAAAAAAAAGGAAGCATAACTGGGAGAGGAGCTTTTTTTTGGGGGGAGGGAGGGCGGGCGTGGGGATGGAGTCTTGCTCTGTCGCCCAGGCTGGAGTGCAGTGGCACAATCTTGGCTCACTGCAAGCTCCGCCTCCCTGGCTCAAGGGATTCCCCCGCCTCAGCCTCCCAACTAGCTGGGATTACAGGTGCATGCCACCACACCCAGCTAATTTTTTTTGTATTTTTAATAGAGATGAGGTTTCACCATATTGGCCAGATTGGTCTCAAAACTCCCAACCTCGGGCAATCCACCTGCCTAGGCCTCGGCCTCACAAAGTGTGGGGATTACAGGGGAGAACGACCGCGCCCATGCCCTGGGGAGAGAAGCAACTTTTTTTTTTTTTTTTTTTTTTGAGACAGAGTCTCGCTCTGTCGCCCAGGCTGGAGTGCAGTGGCCGGCTCTCAGCTCACTGCAAGCTCCGCCTCCCGGGTTCACGCCATTCTCCTGCCTCAGCCTCCCGAGTAGCTGGGACTACAGGCGCCCGCCACCTCGCCCGGCTAGTTTTTTGTATTTTTAGTAGAGACGGGGTTTCACCGTGTTAGCCAGGATGGTCTCGATCTCCTGACCTTGTGATCCGCCCGTCTCGGCCTCCCAAAGTGCTGGGATTACAGGCTTGAGCCACCGCGCCCGGCCTGAGAGAAGCAACTTGATTCACCCAGGGATCCCAGCAGTTGGCTTCCTGCCCACCCCGCCCTAGGGCCTGCCCCGCCCACCGTGGGGGCCGGAGCCCATGCACCTGTGCTTCTGCTCGCAGAACCCCATCTTCTCCTGCAGCAGGCCCATGCGCGTGTTGGCGCCCTCGTCCTGCGGGCTCAGCGCCAGCGCCTGCTGGTAGTCTGCCTCGGCAAAGGCCAGGTTGCCCAGCTGGAAGAAGCAATCTAGGGTCCGGAGGCGGGGGTGAGTGCACCCGCAACTCCCAGTGCCTGGGAGGCCCAGCCCAGTCGGCTCCAGCCCCGGGGCCAGGGCCTGAAACTGGTGGCTGATAACCCCCATCGGCGGTCACGGTCCCCGTCCCCTCTAGTTTTCTGGGCGTCTGGGCACTGTTCCCCAGCCGCCTGTTTGAGCATTTTAAGGAGTCTGGAACCAGTCTGTCTAAGGTACCATTTCCCAGAGTGTGTTCCTGGGATACTGAGACTATTACATTTCCTCTTCCCTCGCTTCCTTCCTCTCTCCCTTCCTCCTTCCCCCGCAGGGGTCTCAAGTGCCCAGTGGGGGCCTTAAAGATGGTGAGGCTCCCCGCATCCCCTCCCCAACGCCCCGGTCGCTGCGCACCGCCTCGGTTGATGTAGAGCCCTTTCTCCTGCTGCTCGTCCCGGAGGGCCTTGTTCAGCAGCAGCACGCCCTCCTGGTAGGCACCCTGCCTGTAGCAGTGCACGGCAAAGTCGTTGTAGGTAAGCAACAGCTGGCGCTGCGCCTGCCGCACCATGTCCTCCTGGTCCTCGGTCACCATGTCCAGCACCTTCAGGAAGTCCTCCACTGCTCCATCAAACTCCTGAAGCCGTCGGTACATGGTGCCCCTGTGAGGGACGGTGTGGCAGACGGCAGGAGGGACGTGAGGGCCAGTGCACCCCCACCGACTGGTGAGTGGCCAGACCTCCTGACCCATGGAGGCAGTGGCCATCCCCACCTCATTTGTTAGGTTTGTCCCATGGGGCCAGCTCTGGACTGCTACTCAGATAACCCACTAGGCACTGATCATTTTATTTTTTGCAAAAATGCCCTCCCTCTTTCTTTTTGGGAGCCAGGTGTATGCCAGTCTCTACATTAAAACATTTTGTACAAGAAACAGGTGTTTTGCCACCGCTGTTTGGAGAGGTTAATTGGCACGAAATCACAGTGGCCTCTCATGTCACTGAATCACTTGTGGGAGACTGAGCCCAGCCCCTTGGCATAGCGAGAGGTTGACTGGGTGGACAACCGCCCGGAGTCACTCCTGCCAGGGCAGCGGCGCTCCCTCCGAAATGCAGCAGGATGTGGTAAGTTCCTGGGGACCAGACTCAAGCCTACGCTGGGCTCAGCGCCCAGTGTGAACTGCTTAGCAGGCTGGGGCTCTAGGATTCCTGGGGTAACTGGGACATTTGTTGCCATCCCTCTTCCAGCTGTAAGAGACCACCTCTGTACTGCCTTAACCCAGTAGGAAGTAGGGAAAGACTGTTAGAGGCTAGCTGGGGAAACTGAGGCCTAGAGAGGGTCAGGGACTCTCCTTAAACCACACGGAAAGTCTGTGGCTGGGCAGGGCCTGGGACCCAAGGCCAGCACCTTCCCATGCAGTACCGGAAGAGGAAGAAACTGGGGTCCAGAGGGTTGTTCTCGATGGCACAGTTGATGCGCTGCAGTGCGTGCTGCAGCCTGCCCTGCACGGCCAGGATCCCCGCGTCTTGGCGCGCCTGCTGGGCCTGGGCCACCATCTTCTGGAGCAGCATCCTGGCCTGGGGATGCTTGGGATTCAACAGCAAGGCGCCGTGCAGATCCCGGTAGCAGAGGTGGGGCTGCAGGGGGCCAAGGGTGGCATCAGGGGCACAGGTCAACTGAGCCATGGGACCTAGAGGCCTTTCTTCAGCAGGGTGGCATCACACCATGCCTCCTCCATGCCCCCCACGTCCCACCCTTTTCTGCTTTTTTTTTTTTTTTTTGAGATGGAGTCTCACTCTGTCACCCAGGCTGGAGTGCAATTGGTGTGGTCTTGGCTCACTGCAACCTCTGCCTCCCAGGTTCAACAGATTTTCCCGCGTCAGCCTCGCGAGTAGCTGGGACTACAGGTGCGTGCCATCACACCTGGCTAATTTTTTTTTTTTTTTCCAGTAGAGATGGGGTTTCACTATGTTGGCCAGGCTGGTCTCGAACTCCTGACCTTAGGTGATCCACCCACCTTGGCCTCCCAAAGTGCCAGGATTACAGGGTTGAGCCACCATGCCCAGCCCCTTTCTACCTCTTGAAGGACACAAGGAGCATCATGGGGAAATTCCATCCCAAGCCCCATGCCAGCTGGCCCTTTGCAGATGTGACCTCACGTGAGCCAGGTCCACCCCAGTGGTTTCTGCAGATGCTGCCTCCTTGTCAGGCCTCTGTGAAGCCCACTCAAGGTGTGGGGAGCGTGTGACCTCCTGACTGTGACAGTTGTGTCCTCCCTCCCCTCCCCTGCACTCCCTCTTCCCCTCCCTGACCTTTGAGCCCAAGACCACACTGGCCAAGCCCAGATTCTGGTCTGGGTACAGCGGAAACCTCCCCCAGCAAGTCCCTTCCACCGGGAGGAGGGGTGGGTGAGGAAGGCGAAGCTCAGCCCAGCAACAGACAGTTCAACACCACCCTGTTCCCTGCGGGGTGACTGGTTGGCAGGCGAACGGGGTGTAGTGGACGGCAGGCATGGGTGGAGGGAGGGAGGGAAATGGCAGGAGCTAGGGGCAGGGCTTTGGAGTAGGCAGCCTTGGGCTCCAGGCAGTGCCACTGGGAACAGGCTGTGTGACCTTGGGCAAGTCACCTGGGGGTGGCTCATCCTCTGTGAAAAGAGGACAGTGTGTCTCTATCCCAAAGGGTTGCTGCAGCCTCACAGTTAAACAGGGGCAAAGTGCTGAGAACACGCCTACACATGGGAGGGGCTAAAATCGCAACAGTCACCAATAATTATCAATTACTAGTTCTCAGCTAGGCGCGGTGGCTCACACCTATAATCCCAGGAGGCTGAGGCAGGGGGAATCACCTGGCGAAACCCTGCCTTTCCTAAAAATACAGAAATTAGCTGGGCAGGCGCCTGTAATCCCAGTTACTCAGGAGGCTGAGGTGTGAGAATCGCTTGAACCTCCCGGCAGAGGTTGTGGTGAGCTGAGATCTCACCACTGCACTCCAGCCTGGGTGACAGAGTGAGACTCTGTCTCAACAAAACAAAACAAAACAAAACAAATTACTAGTCTCATGCCACTGAATCGCCTGTGGGACGCTACAGCCCAGCCCCAAGGCACAGGGAGGAGCTGCCAGGGTGGACTGCGCTCCCTCCTGCAATGCAGGCTGGCATTTCAGCCGCCCCCAGGATGTCCCCACCTGGAGAATGAGATGCACCCACCCCACCCCGCCCACCTGCTCCTCCCCATCCTAGTTTCCCAGCTCCCCATCCACCCAGGCCAAGCCAGAACCCTTCTGGATCCTTCTGTTTCCTTCAAGCCCACCCCCAAGCCAGACTCCAGCCCTGCCTTCTGAAGGGCTGTGGGACTTGCCCCTCCTTGCTGCCCTCATGACCACCTTTCCCTCAGCCTCACCCAACTCTGCAGTGGCGCCCAGCCTCCTTCTCAGGCTCCTGCCTCCAGGCCTCCCCTCCGACCCACACTCCTTGCGGATACCGGAATGATCTTCCTAAAGCTCCCTGCCCTGGGGACACCTGATGAAGGCTCCCACTGCCTCTGGGGAGACTTCTCATCCCTGCCCTCCTCTCCTTGGTGCCCAGCACCCCCTCCACCTCCTCCCTTGTGACCCCAAGTTTCTCTTGCTCCCAAGCTGTTCCCTGTACTGTCTGTCCCTGTACCCAGCCCAGGTTGTGCGGGTGGTCAGGGGTAGGGGTGATTCATTGAGGCAAACAGGAAAAAAGAAAGGAAGCGAGAGGAAGAGGAGAAGGAAGGAGAGGAGAAAAGGAAGAAGGGGGAAGGGAGGAAGGGGAAGGGAGGAAGGGAGGAGGGGGGAAGGGAGGAAGGTAGAAGGGAGAAAGGGGGAAGGAAGGAAGGGAGGAGGGAGGAAGGGAGGAGGGAGGAATAGAGGAGGGAGGAGGGAGAAAGGGAGGAGGGAGGAAGGGAGGAGGGAGGAATGGAGGAGGGAGAAAGGGAGGAAGGGGGAAGGGAGGAGGGAGGAATGGAGGAGGGAGGAAGGGAGGGGGAAGGGAGGAAGGGAGGAGGGGGGAAGGGAGGAAGGCAGAAGGCAGGAAGGCGGAAGGAAGGGAGGAGGGAGAAAGGGAGGAGGGAGGAAGGAGGAAGGGAGGAGGGAGGAGGGAGGAAGGGAGGAGGGAGGAAGAGAAGAGAGAGGAATGGAGGAGGGAGGAGGGAGGAAGGGGGAAGGGAGGAGGGAGGAGGAAGGAAGGGAAGAAGGAGGAAGGGGAAGGGAGAAGGGCTAACTCATGTTAGGTGCCCTGGATGTCCCCGTGTGTGGCTTCACAGGATTGTGGCTAAATCCTTTGTAGTGTACTCATCTGCCCAGGGATACCTCCCCCAGGCTGCGAGCTCCGTCCGGACAGGGATGATATGAATCTCTCATCTTTTGCTTCCCTTGGGGTGCAGCACAGGCCTGGCACAGAGCCAGGGCTGAGCAACAATGGAACAAGGACCTGAAGTGGTAGCTGAGTGGTCCAGGCCAGTGTGGGCCTCTTCCCAGGGAGGACAGCACCCACGGCACTGTGGGATGGGGCTTCTGGGCTAGCTGATAGCCTTGCCTCCTCCTGTAATCTTGGGGCACACTGATGACCACCAGGTTGGGAGGCACGCCCCTGCCCGCCTTCTCCACTGTACCTTCTGGAGAAAGTTGTAGAGTCTGGCCCGGAGGATGTAGACGTCGGCGTTGGTGGTGTCCTGCTTCAGCTCCTCGGTGATGAGTGAGAGGCAGGCCGGATGCTGCTTGAGGGCCAGGAGACAGGCCATGCTGAGGGCAGAGGGAACAGAGTGCTCTGGTTCCCGGGTGGGGCGTCAGGAAGCCGCTGCTGGGAGAAGGGTCCAGCAAGGGCACTCACCATCGGTAACGGAAGCACGCTTTCTCAGGCTGGAGCTCGGCAGCATGTGAGAAGACATTCAGGGCATCCAGGAAGGCACACTGCTCAAAAAGGCATTGCCCCTGGGGACACAGGGGACAGTCAATTCTGCTTGCCACCCCAGCCCCGCTGCACCCCCTGGTTGGCAGCCGAAAGCCCTGAGGCAGGAGGGAGAGATACAACAGACAAGGATAGAGCCTTTTAGATCTGGGAGAGACTTGAAGAGGCAGAGACACAGAGACAGAGATGGAGAGAGATACAGATCTGGGGAAAGACAGCAAGAGTTGGTGAGAGATACACACTTGGCAAGAGACAGGAATACAGAGATTCAGGAACAAAGAGAAATGGAGAAAACTCAGATGGCTGGGCCAGACACGGTGGCTCACGCCTGTTATCCCATCCCAGCCCTCTGAGAGGCTGAGGCAGGTGGATCACTTGAGGCCAGGAGTTTGAGGCCAGCCTGGCCAACATGGTGAAACCCCGTCTCTACTAAAAATACAAAAATCAGCTAGGCATGTTAGTGCATGCCTGTAATCCCAGCTACTCAGGAGGCTGAGGCACGAGAATCGCTTGGACCCGGGAACCAGAGGTTGTAGTGAGCTGAGATCATGCCACAGCCCTCCAGCCTGGGCGACAGAGCGAGACTCCATCTCAAAACAAACAAAAAAAACAAACAAACGAACAAAAAACAGAATCTCGGATGGCAGAAGAGACCAACAGAACTAACATGAACATGCTGTAGCCTGGCCCTGGGCCCTGGGTGCTGAGCCCTGTGCTAAGAACTTCAACTTGTTTTCTCACTGGCACTAGCATGCTTCTCTTATAGATAAAGGAACTGAGGCTCAGAGAGGCGGAGTGACTTGCATAAGGGCACACAGGAAGTGGCCGTGCAGGACACGGGCCCGCAACAGATTCAGCACATGGTCTGAGGGCCCCAAATGTTTCTTTTTAAGAAGAGATTTTTTTTTTTTGTTTTTTTTTTTGAGACAGTGTCCTGTTCTGTCACCCAGGCTGGAGTACAGTGGTACGATCTCGGCTCATCCCAACCTCTGCCTTCTGGTTTCAAGAGATTCTCCTGTCTCAGCCTCCCAAGTAGCTGGGATTACAGGCGTGTGCTACGCCTAGCTAATTTTTGTATTTTTAGTAGAGACGGGGTTTCACCATGTTGGCCAGGCTGGCCTCAAACTCTTGATCTCATGATCCGCCCTACTCGGCCTCCCAGACTGGCCAAGAACTGAATATATTTTGACATAAACAAAAGACATCAAGCCCAGGCGCACTGGCTCACACCTGTCATCCCAGCACTTTGGGAAGCCGAGGCGGGCAGATCACTTGAGGTCAGGAGTTGGAGACCAGCCTGGCCAACATGGCGAAAACCCATCTCTATTAAAAGTACAAAAATTAGCCAAGCATGGTGATGCACATCTGTAATCCTAGCTACTCGGGAGGCTGAGGCACGAGAATCATTTGAATAAGGGAGGTGGAGGTTGTAAGCTGAGATTGCACCACTGCGCTCTAGCCTCAGAAACAGAGCAAGACTCCGTCTCAAAAAAAAAAAAAGACAACAAGATTATCAAAATGGAAAAAAGGAACACTTTGTTGGTGTTTTTTTTTTTTTTTTTTTTTTGAGACGGAGTCTCGCTGTGTCGCCCAGGCTGGAGTGCAGTGGCCGGATCTCAGCTCACTGCAAGCTCCGCCTCCTGGGTTTTTACGCCATTCTCCTGCCTCAGCCTCCCGAGTAGCCGGGACTACAGGCGCCCACCACCTCGCCCGGCTAGTTTTTTGTATTTTTTAGTAGAGACGGGGTTTCACCGTGTTAGCCAGGATGGTCTCGAACTCCTGACCTCGTGATCCGCCCGTCTCGGCCTCCCAAAGTGCTGGGATTACAGGCTTGAGCCACCGCGCCCGGCCTTTGTTGGTGTTTTATAGTTTAATATTGTTTTTCCTTTGAAATACACTTGGGGGTCACTGTGAGCTTTTTAGTGCTTAGAGCCTCTGGACTCTAGATCTGTGCCATCCCATCCAAGACAATAGCCACTGCTTTGTGTGGCTATACACATTTAAATTAATTAAAATAAAAATAAGAGGCTGGGCATAGTGGCTCACATTTGTAATCCTAGCACTTTGGGAGGCCGAGGCTGGCAGATTGCCTGAGCCCAGGAGTTTGAGACCAGCCTGGGCAACAAAGTGAAACCCCGTCTCTACTAAAATACAAAAAATTAGACAGGCATGGTGGCATGTGCCTGTAGTCCCAGCTACTCAGGAGGCTGAGGCAGGAGAATTGCTTGAACCCGGGAGGCAGAGGTTGCAGTGAGCCGAGATCGTGCCACTGCACTCCAGCCTGAGCGACAGAGCGAGACTCCGTCTCAAAAACAACAATAATAATAAAATAAAAATAAGATATAAAATTCAATTCTTTAGTCACACTTGCCACATGTCAAGGGCTCAACAGTTCCACGTGGCTGATGGGTAGCATATTGGACACTGTCATTATGGCAGAAACCCGAATGGACAGTGCTGCCAAACTTGATTCAACCTTGGCAGTAAACCAGCCTTGGAGGTGAGAGGGGCAGCAGGTAGGGACCCAGACACAGGGACAAGGAGGAATCCAAGGAGACGGAGCTGGGCCCAGGAGCCAGGAGAGCCCCTGGAGGGAAAGCCAGTGATGTGAGGTGCATGCCCTGCATGGGCCCGGGCAGCCCCAGGCACCTGTAGGTAGAGCACAAAGGTGAGGCGCTCCAGGTGCTTGCAGTTGTCCTGCTGTAAGGAGTAGGCCCTTCGCAGGTTCTGGGCAGCCGAGGAGAAGTCACAGAGCTGGAGGTAGGCCTCGGCCCGCAAGGCGTAGAAGTCCACCTAAGGGTGAGGGGACCCAGGCTGCTGGATCCTCCCCACCATCTGCCCCTGGAGGGTAGGGGAAAGTCTCCGCCCCCGCCGAGCGTTGACACCCAATTCCCATCAGGGACTTGGTGGCCCTGAGAGGAGGGATCTGGCAGGTGCAACAGGGAGGGAGGAAGCATGTTCCAGCAACTGCCTGTGCCCACCCAGGTCTGCCTCTCACCAGCTGTGGGTCCAGGTGGAGCGCACGGGAGAAGAACAGCACAGCTGTCTCCCAGTCTGCCTGCTCCAAGCACTGCTGGCCTCTGGAGTAGCTGTGGAGAAAGTGGGGACAGGCAGAGGGGTGGCCCTGACTGTGGACCAGCCCAGAGCATAGGGCTGGGGTGGGGGTTGTGGGAGGCAAGGGAGCTGGGTAGAGAGGCAGGAGGAGTAGACAGAAGCCCAGGGAGGGCAGGCTGGTGTTCCTGGAGTCCAGCCAGGCCATCAGCCTCATTTCCACTGAGGTAGAAGAGCCCCATTAGACAGTTGAGTTCACTGAGGCCCGAACAGAGTAAGTGGCTCAAAGCTGCACGGTATGGGAATGGCTGTGTCAGGCAGGAACCTGGGACCCCAAAGCAAGGTAGTCACTCACTACTCCCTGACTTTGAGGGGCACCGTTAACCCCGTGACCTTTGGCTTTACGTCACAGATGCTTTGGAACACCTGGCTGGTTCCAAAGATGTGCTGCAGGATCCCTTTGGGGGCTGGAATCACCCATGGCTTTGGGATGTCCTGTGAGGGGCCCTGGTCAACCTTCAGGGCATCCTAGAACCGAAGGGCAGTAAGCTGCAGTAGGCCCCCGAGATGACCCCCACCCACTGACACACTCGCCAGCATTCTGCAGGGAGGGAGGAGAGGCAGAAATGAGGCCTGGAAGGAGGCACTCCCACTCGGGGGTCCGGTGGCACTCCCAGTCCCATTCCTCTTAGGGCCGCGCCAACCTGTCCCTCTCCAGTCCTGCCCTTCTCCCTCTCCTGTGGTCAAGGTCAGGGATCAGGGTCCTCACACTTACAACACCATCTGCTCTCCCCCCTAGGCCTTCCCAGCTCCCACTTCCGGCTACTGACACCCCAAGCTCTGATGTCTCCAGCTCAGGCCCGGTCCCAAGTCTCAGGCCTTGGGGGTCCTACAGCCCCTTGGGTACCCTTCAGGACCCTCACTCCAGCAGGCCACACTGAGCACCTCACCTGACTTCTGCCCCAGGCTCTCCCATCTTGGTGAGGTCACCTTCCCCACCAGCTACCCAAGCCAGAAACCTCTGTCCAAGCAGCCGCCGAGCCTTACAAGGATCTCTCACATCCCTGGTTCTTGGCATGGTGGCCAGGGCCTTCCCTGAGTCGGACTGCTGCCCCTGCCCCTCCCGGCCTTCACCCTTTCCTGCGAACCCAGCCTCGGTCTCTCCGCCTGGCCCTCTGCCTTTGCGTTAGTCTTCTCCCCAGCCCGCACCTCGTCCGAATCTGTCATGAAGCCCCTTCCAGGAGGACCCCGAGGCCTCTGCCAACTACCTCGCGGCCCCGGCCCTGACGTTGCTAGGCACCATCACCAGGACGCCCACGGGCCCCGCCCCTCTAGCCCCGCCCCCGGGAACCAAGCTTTTTGAGCCGGAGGGAGGTAGAAAACTTTTATTAGCTGGGGAGGTTGAGGCCTACATCGGGGAAAGGACTTGCCAGATTTTCGCCGCGAGGCAGGGCCATAGCCGGGAGCATAACAAGGGTTCCGCCTCCCAACCGAAGGTCAAGCAAGAGCTCCAAGCGTCCCACACAAACCCCGCAGGGACACAGTGACGCCGCGCCACTGAAGGCGCCTGGGCTCCCGGACTCTGCCACCACCTCGCCGCTTCCGCCCCTCAGAAGCATGGCGGCCATGCAGCCCGGCTCGGATTGGACGTTGGCGGTCGACGCCAAACAAATGGCAACGCGATTGGCTGCTGCGGGGTGATGACGTCAGGGGGTGGTGTCCGGGCCGCGAATGGGGGCAGCATGAGGCCGCGCGGCTTTTTGGGCGCCGGACAGTGGCTGAGTCGAGCCATGAGCCGATGCGTTTTGGAGCCTCGGCCCCCGGGGAAGCGGTGGATGGTGAGTGGCGTGGGGCGGCGACGTAGGGGCTCCCGGTCCCTAGCTTCAGTTCAGCCATTATGTCCCGGGAGCCGAGTGCCCCCAAATTGCTGCTCTGTTTTCTTAACTGGTGGGTCCGGTGCTCGACGGGCTCCAAACTTCCAGAAGCTCCGTTCCTGCACTAGGGCGCCCTGCCTGCCCAGCCTTCTGGTGTTCTCGGGGGTCGGGTTTCTGGGCCCTTTCTTCGCGCCCCTTCCCCACTGCAGCGTTGCTCTGCGTTTCCGCTCCTCTGCTTTGGAGCCCACGGGACGCTGTGAGGTCGGGGGTGGCGAGAGTTGTTGGGCCTCAGTTTCCCTGGTGCCGCCCGCAGGTGGCTGGCCTGGGGAATCCCGGACTGCCTGGCACGCGACACAGCGTAGGCATGGCGGTGCTGGGGCAGCTGGCGCGGCGGCTGGGTGTGGCGGAGAGTTGGACGCGCGACCGGCACTGTGCCGCCGACCTCGCCCTGGCCCCGCTGGGGGATGCCCAGCTGGTCCTGCTCCGGCCACGGCGGCTTATGAACGCCAACGGGCGCAGCGTGGCCCGGGCTGGTGAGTTGAGCGCGCCAGGGACGGGCGGGCCGGCCGAGGGGGTGGGGGGTGAGGGTGGGAGTGCAGGGGCCAGAGCGGGACTGGCTGTGACAGATCCGCGGGTTCACCCCCAAGTACCTGTTGAGCTCCAGTTGCTGCATGGCCTTGGGTACTTGTGGGGGCCTCCGTTTCTTTATATGTGAAGTGGGATTGATTAGTTGTGGCCCCTTATCGTGGGAGTCTGGACAGTGACCCTCTGGGCAGATGGGCAGTAACCAGGGCTGCCGTTTCCCTGTGCTAAGCGGAGCTGTTTGGGCTGACTGCCGAGGAAGTGTACCTGGTGCATGATGAGCTGGACAAGCCCCTGGGGAGACTGGCTCTGAAGCTGGGGGGCAGTGCCAGGTGAGGTCCTGAGATGGTCAGGGTTGGGATAGGGCTTCAGGCCTCCCAGTTGGGGTGGAGTAGGGCTGCTGACCCAGTCTCCACAGGAAATGGGCTGCTCTGACCCAGCCGGGGCAGGGAGGGGTGGAAGGACATTGCCCCAGGGAGGCACTAACTGCCCCTCCCATATCCCTTGAAGGGGCCACAATGGAGTCCGTTCCTGCATTAGCTGCCTCAACTCCAATGTGAGTCTAACCTTTTGTTGTGCAACTGGGTCGGGTGGGCCAGGGGTCCCCCAGCACCTCGCCAAAGCTTCCTGGGCCTCTCTGGCTCTCCCACAGGCAATGCCAAGGCTGCGGGTGGGCATCGGGCGCCCGACACACCCTGAGGCGGTACAGGCCCATGTGCTGGGCTGCTTCTCCCCTGCTGAGCAGGAGCTGCTGCCTCTGTTGCTGGATCGAGCCACCGACCTGATCTTGGACCACATTCGTGAGCGAAGCCAGGGGCCCTCATTGGGGCCGTGACACCAGTGGCCATGGCTGCCCGCCTGACTGTAGTACCCACCAACCCAGCCAGGGCCACAGAGCTGCCATGCCAGCCTTGGTATCTACTTTTTATACAACTGTCCTCTAGACTGTTCCAGGCTGCCTGCAGATTAAAGTGGGGGTGACTGTGACTGGACCAGTCCATTTCTGAAGTAGGTTCTTCTCTCTGTGTCCTATTTGGAACGTAGGGGAACTTCAGGAAGACTAAACGTTTTGAGCCTTTTTAGAGAAGCAGGGGCACGTATCTGTAAGATTAAAGATGCTGGCTTGGAGGCCTGGCGCAGTGGCTCACGCCTGTAATCCCAGCACTTTAGGAGGCCAAAGCTGGGGGATTGCTTGACCTCAGGAGTTCGAGACCAGCCTGGCCAACATGGTGAAACCCCACCTCTACTAAAAATACAAAAATTAGCCGGGCGTGGTGGCGCACGCCTGTAATCCCAGCTACTTGGGAGGCTGAGGCAGGAGAATCACTTGAACCCGGGAGGCGGAGGTTGCCATGAGCTGAGACTGCCATGAGCTGAGATTGCGGCACTGCACTCCAGCCTGGGTGACAGAGTGAGACTCCGTCTCAAAAAGAAAAAAAAAAAAAAAAAAAAGATGCTAGCTTGGAAGCTGAGGCCTCTTCAGGGGGATCCCACTCTGCTGGTCGCGGGGAACAACAGGGTCCAGCCAACCCCCCTCCCAGGGCATGTGTGGGCATGCCTTGGCCCACTGAGGCTTGGCCACCCCTTTCTTCAGCCCATTTTACAGATGGGAAGGGTCAGAGAGGTCTGGTTACATCCCCAGGACCACACAGCTGTGGCCTGGCAGAGCCTCAGTTTGCTCCCAGGACTGGCTAACTGGGGCCCCTAGCACCCTCACCTCAGGGCTGCTATGTGCCCGGAAGGTCCCCACACGGGTGATATATGACAGCAGCCTGAGGTCCTGGGGGTTGGGTGGGATGTGGGCCTGGCGAGGTACCAGGCCTAGATCCCCCGGCTGGTAGTGGGTGATGTCAGAGAGCTGCGGCAGCAGAGACCCAGTCCTGGGCAGCTGGATGCTGGGCCGGCTGTGGGGAGGGGACCGAGGGTCACAGAGCCTTCCACGAGCCAGGTTTCTGGCCCAGGGTGAGCCAAGCACTGTCCCCATGGCTGCATGCCTTTGCCCTGCTCCCTATGACCGCCTCTGAGGCCACACAGGGCCACTTGTTCACCTCTCCTTGGGTGGGCCATGGGACTGTGACTCCGGGTGGGGACAGACAGCCTTCTGGGGTCTCGGGACCACAGTGGCGCTGAGCATGACCAGCAGTTGCTGTAGCATCTCCTTGTGCCATAGCTGGAATGTCACGTCGAAGTCGCTGTCCTCTTCATCGGGGTGCATCTGTTGGTGAGGGTGGGGTGGCAGCAGGCCCACAGTGGCCCCAGTACCCACCCTCCTCCAGGAACCTCCAACCTCATTGCCCCGTTTCCACGAAGTTTTCCCTGGTGGGATACCCATTCTCCAGTCGGGAAGACTGAGGCCTGAGACCTTTCAGAGCCTCAGAGAAGGAATCCAGCTCCTTTAAGACCTTGGAGGGATCTTTGAAGGCCAGAATCAGCGAAGGACAGACTTTCCAGGAGGCTCTCAGGGAAAAGAGGGGCCTCTGATCCTGAGGCAGCCTCTTCTCTGCAAGCAGCTTACCTCTTGGGCTCACTCCCCCGCCCCCTTGCGCCCTCCCTCCCTCCCTTCTGCTCACCTGCAGAATGTTCTGGAGGAAGGAGGTGGCCTGGACCAGGGCCGCCTCCAGGCTGGCCCGAACCTTCTGCTCATTAGCCAGTTCCTGCTGTAGCCGCTGCAGATCCCCCTGCTGCTGCCCCAGCTGCAAGCTCAGCTGGTCTCTCTGGCTCCTGGACCCCAACTGGGATGAGTCAACAGCCTTCCCCCTTCCCCAGGACTGGCGCCACCTGGGGCCAGGGGCCCTGCCATTTCTCTCCAAGCCCAGAGGGGCCCCCATCCAGCCCCAAGTCCTCAGCCTGTCTGGCAGGCTCCTCTAGAGAGGGGAAGCCTGGGTCGTGAGATCAGAAAGAGCTGGGTCGGAGCTTGGCCCCAGCCTTCACCCGCCACCCACCACCCACCCCTCCACGGGCCATACGCACTTCAGTGCCTGGTTGTCCACCTGCAGCTGCAGGGATCTCTGCTCCAACTGGCTCAGCAGGAGGCGCAGCTCCTCGGCCTCCTTGGTGTCCTGCTGCTGCTCCTGGCATTTCTTGGTCAGCATGAGGATAATCTGTGGGTGCGGACAGGTGGCCATGCCCTCAGCCAGCCCTGTCCCCCAGTTGCGGACACAGCCAGGCCTCCCCTGCTCCCCCGTGCAGAGTGACCAGTGAGCTCTCCAGGACTGGGCTCTGCTTCCATAAGTTATGGGGGTTTTAAGTAAATACAATCCAGAGCTAGGCCCAGCGCCCTGCAGCCCCCACAGGAGGCCCAGTCCTCTCTCTGCTGCCTCCCTCCCTCCTGACTTGACTTTCCCTGCAGGGCCCCCAGGGCGGCCTCCTCCCTTGTATGCCAAATGCCCTGTACTGAGGCCTGCAGGCGCACCTTCTGGTGGCCTCTTTTGTGCCTGGCCATGACCTTCTGGGTGTTCTCCAGCAGCTCCAGCTGTTTGCACAGATTGCCCTGGCTTCCCTTGAGCTGCTCATTCTCCTGCAGCAGCTTCATGCCTTGCTGGGAGACCCTGGCCATCTGCAGGGTAATGCCGTTGTTCTCTTTGATGGCCCGCTTCGTTGTCTCCCACATCCGGTTCGTGGTCACCTTGTGGAACTCACTGGCCACGAGGTTCACGCGTTGGATGATTTCTTTCCTCAGTCTGGCCAGAAAGGTGGGAGAGAAGGGGTCAGACAGAGCGGGCACAAGCCCTGGGCACACCCTTTCCTCTGTGAGGTTCCCAGAACACCTAGGGCTGTTAAACACCAGCATACTCTCTCCCAGGGAGGGTTGGGGCTATAGGCAGGAGGCTTTCCCTGTAGATCCTCTGGACCTTTGTAATTGGTACCATTTCAGTGTACTCTCCCCTATTAAGTAAACAT